TAAAATAAAAAATCACTTGCATAATAATAATAAAACTGGAAACAGCGGTCATTTAATAACTGGAAAAGAGACTCCATCGACACAATACATGACCAGTATAACGTTTCATTCAGCATTACATTCAACATTACCTTCAACATTACATTCAACATTACATTCAACATTACATTCAACATTACATTCAACATTACATTCAACATTACATTCAACATTACATTCAACATTACATTCAACATTACATTCAACATTACATTCAGCATTACATTCAGCATTACATTCAACGTTTCATTCAACATCATCGAGCACTGCATGACTTAAAAAAATATTTTTTGTTATATTTCCAACCAACAAATTAGCTAACACTTCGAAAGTTCAAAAAGTAATTACTGCATAAACTTTGAAAATTTCTATATAAGCAGGATATAAAACGAAATAAATATTTGATCGGATTTTAAACGAAATAAATATTTGATATGTGTTTAGATAACTCAACATGCCAAATTTGCGTTAAATTGAATGTATAATGAGCCAATGTTAAAACGAAACTGTTGTAAGAATTATGCAATAAAAAGTTAATTAGAAAATGTTTAAGTTTTTTCTGTTCATACTAGTCATTCATAGATTCTGAGAGACTGCTCATTAAATTGAATTTAATTCATTACACTAATGTAGAGTCATTTATGCTTCTTACGTAAGTTGATTGATAGTGACGATGATAGATGGAAAGATTTTTGTCTTATAGGGTGGACGCAAGAGGTTCATCAGGTTGCGTCTGATGTGGCATGTGATGTTATGAGATGAGATTTAATGTGATGTGATGGGATGTGATGTCATGTGATGGAATATGTGTTATGTAGGGTTAGGTTTAAGACAGGGGTGGTCAAACGTTTTGCTGTGAGGGCCTCATTGAAAACTATTTCAACTTTGAAGAGTCGCATGTGTACTTGAAAAGCAAATTTTTTCGACCCTGGGGAAATTTTTTTTAAGTTTTGTGGTTTCTTTTTTGGTCATAATGTTTGGCTGACGACATTATTTTGGCGAACAAGGCCTCGCGGGCCGCTTAAAATAGCTTCGCGGGCCGTAGTTTGCCGACCCCTGGTTTAGGATATATGTAAAGTGATATGTGAAGTGATGCGTGATGATGTGATATGAATATTTGAAGCGATGTTGCGAGGAATGGTGAATGATGTGAGGAATGGTGATTGATGTGAGGAATGGTGATTGATGTGAGGAATGGTGGTTGATGTGATGTAAGGTCATGTGACTCAATCTAATGTGATTGATGATGATTTTAACACGGGAAAAACAGACATTGTCTGCTTACGATCACATCTTTTTTGAATGTCGTCTATGATGTTAACCTGATGTTTTATTTTTCAGATATCTTGGCTTTTGAAAACATTTCTAAAAAAATTAATAAAAATATAATTTAATTTTTTTATTTATAATTCCTTATTGCGTTCTACTTCGAATATTGGTTTAAAGTTTAAAGAGTTTAAACAAACTCAAGGAATTGAAGATAAAATTGAATATGACCCACAAAAATAATTTTTGAATGACTCACATATATCAATTAAAAAAATTATATTATAGTTGATGCCTTTTATTTAACAAAATAAAATAAATGTAACAGCTCCACCATCTTGAGTTCAAACACCAACATGAATTGGAAGACGAGTTGGAAAGTGAACTTCAACAGCAAGACTGCCAACCACAGATGTTCCTTTCAAACCAAATCGAAACAATAGCAAATTTTTCAGAGAAGAAATTAACTGTTGATTCTGAAAAAAACTTACAATGTTGTGAGGTGCTAAATGAAGATCACCATTTAAACGTTATAGCTGATGCAAACCCCAACTTGACGGCAACCAACTCTTCTCATTTAGTCTTCAACTCCGGTAGGAAAGCCAACGCAAGCAGTAATAACGAGAAATTTTCCATAGCAGCTGAAAATATCAACTTTATTAGCAATCAAACAAAAACTGATATGTCGTTTCATAGATTGCCTGCTGGTCTGCTGAAAACAACTCAAACTTCAACAACAACACCAACAACTGATTATTCAACAACTCTCCAACTAAAAGAAATGATCTCGCCAACCAACAATGAAAAACCTACTTTTACAACAACCGAAGTCAACACTTTTAATACAGAATCCAACAGCAACACTCCCGCCACAAAATTCAACACAAACTCTTCCCAAAGCAACAATCCTAGAAACCGCACTTCGGATAACCAAATTGATGTGCAAACGACAGACGCAAGAACAAGCGGCCACAATGTCTCTAGCAGCGGCCACAATGTCTCCAACAACAACAACAACGTTAATTTTAATAGCGATGATAAAGTGGCAACCACTCAAAAAGTTGAGACCACTAACAACAAAACATTAAGCGTGCACACCAGCAACATGAGCATAAGCGCCACAAACTTGCACACAGCAGTGGCAAACGTAGCAGTCCAGAATTCCACATTGACGACCGACAGATCTGTAAAGGCGCGACAGAGGCGAGCAGACAGGGAACGAAAGATCAACCGCTTGCTAGTCATGATCGCCGTTGTGTTCGCTGCAAGTTGGATGCCGCTCAACATCATCAACATCATCGCCGATTTCAATCAAGATGTCATCGAATCTTTCGATAAGTCAGGTACATTTGCATTGCAATTTATTTTCTTCTTTTTCGTTAATGACTCTTTTTTCATTTAACCGCTTACCAGCACATTAATCACTCCAGTGGAGGCAAGTTACTGTTACTCGTGTCTTTAAAATATTTTATATTTAAAAATATTTTAACCTTCCGAACAGAACACATTTTTGCAAATTGATTATAAAACTTTAAATTTTCAACCAGGAATAATTTTTGCTGTGTGTCACCTGTTGGCGCTGTTGTCAGCTTGTGCCAACCCAGTCCTCTACGGGTGGCTCAATGAGAACTTTCAGCGTGAATTCAAAAGAATTCTTTGCACGAACAAGTGCATGAAGAAAATTAACAACAACGCAAACAACGGTAAATGCGGTCAACTTTGCTAACTGAGCGAACAAGAACAAAATCTGCAAAAATATCTAACTGTTGTCAAATTAAAAATTAATCAAAAGCGAACGACCTCATCCATGCTTGATTTGTGTTGTTGTGTTGTGTGGTTGTGGTGTTGCTGTTGTTGTTGCTACTGTTGTTGTGATATTGCGATGTGTTGTTGCGTTGTGTGGTTGTGTTGTTGTGTAAAAATTGTTTATGTTGGTGTTCAAAATTTATTTGTCATTAATTAAATCTTCCCTCTCACCTATGTTGTGAACTTTGTTGCTGCAGGTTATTTAAATTTAAAAATTTTTAGCAACGGTTAAAAAACGCAAATTATTTCTGACTCTAAAAAAAGACATCATACACACAACATAATTTTATTTGTTCATAGCAAGTCTACAAAAATCATAAAACACAAATTTAAGCATAACCGAATAAACAAATATAAGTGAAATTTATTATTTAGTCTGTCTAATGCAGAAGGAATCATCAGCAGCAGCAACAACATTGAAATCAATGTTGCCATTATTTTACTGGCTGTTCGAACAATCCTCTTTAAAGAGAATTAATTTGAAAATGTAGTTGCACGTACATCCATTCAAAACATTTTTCACAACGTTCAGCATTCACGTAATAGAAACTATTTGAAAACAGGCGAACTTCAAAAAATGTAGTCGAATATGAATGATTCATAAATAAATTTCGCAGTAGGAATGTTTAAGAAATTTTATGAAGATCTGGTGAGATTGCATTCAAAAAATTAACACAGGTTTATGTCATGTTTTTAATTTTAATGTTTTAGATTTTTAATTATTATTGTATGAATTTTGTTTCATTGTATAATTTTTATTATTGCAATCATCAAAATATTTTTTGTCATTTTGGAACAGTTTCGTTTAATCTTTTTTCACATCAAACAACATTTACATTCATTAGCATGGTTTAATATGACATTATCTGCTGTTAACAAAAATTAATACTGTCTTCTATTTTACTCTCAGTGTGCGTACGTGAATTTGCATGTTTGGATGTTTATATTTTGTATAATTGTATTTCTGTATGTGTATTAGGGTGGTCACAACGATATAGGCGGACAAATTACTTGGCTAAAAATGACATTTAAAAAGTTAGATATTTGATATTATTAAACATTGGATGATATTAACTCGTTCCTCATCGAGGTTGAAATCTTGAAAAATTTGGAAAGAAAACCTCATTTTTTGTTTGTAAAATGAAAACGGTTTTTCTTATAAATATGATTTTTTTTCGTTAATAATGAATACTTTCGGATTAATAAGCAAAGTTTTCATGTTAATATTGAATATCGTAAAAAATTAATTGCGTCAAAATAAAATGATGGTTTTTCTGATATTCAATTGATGGTTTTATTTCGCAGTGGTCACCAATTTTTTTCATTTTCGTCTTCTAGAAATATATGTTTGATTGTTATTCTCCTTTATATGCCATAAATTAAAATGTTTTGGAAAAATAAGAATAAGAAAGCTTGAGGTTCAATTTCTGAAAACAAATTGAGATATGTTTATAAATTTTCTTGTAATTTACTAAATATTTTATCAACTTTTAATATTGATTTTATTTTGTATGTGCAAATGCTGGTATTGGGACGCCTAACCTTAACCTAAATATTTTTGATAAATAAGTAAATATCGATAAAACATTTTTTTCTAAATCTATCAAACTAAACTCTTAGCTGAAAAGGTACATTTTTTAATCAATACACCACCCTCGTCAACTACCTCGCTTGAAGCAGAGAACCAGAAGCTGCAAACACGATGTACCATGAAGGAAAGCATCCAACACTATTAGCCAGTATCTATTCTTTGTAGTCATTTATTCAATGCTAAATTGTTAGATGCATGTAACCAATTTTATGAATTTAAATTTCTGTTTGAACATATCTTAGCAGATATAGATAGAATGAAGAAAATCACAACAAAAACACAAAAAAGAAAAGTTTATAATCAAATAAGTTAATAAAATTTAAGTGATCAAATTGCCAAAATTTAGTTACTTTTTCAACAGTAATTTACAAAGAATGCAATTAGTATAACTTTAAAAGTTATTCTTCAATGGTGTTTAAGTTATTAAGCATTTTGCCATAATATAATAATTCAAATTTTTTCTTTGGTATATTGGTAAAAATGCAACTATCTCAGAAACTATTGGTTTGTAGTTAAATAGAATAAAAAGATAAACAAAATGAAATTAAAATCATATTTCTGAGATAAACCGTTTTCATTTTACAAACAAAAAATAAAGTTTTTTCCAAATTTTTTCAAGATTTCAACCTCGATGAGGCACGGGTTAGCATCATCCAATTGAGCTCTTACTTCACAAATGTCATTTTTCATCCATGTGACACAATTTAGGAGCTTCCCCCATTAAGATTTCGAAAAACAAATTTTGTGACCGCCCTAGTATATATTTGTGCGTGTGCATATAATTGTTTTTATTATTGTGGTATATATTTGTATGAACATTATTATTATTTATTATTAAGAGTAATTTGTTAGCGCTAATTAAAACTGTTTCATGAGCACTCACATTCACAAACAAAATGTACGTGACTATACATGAAAAACATAAATTAAAAAAGACAATTTTCACAGTTTAAGAAATAAAAATGTTTTTAATTCTTTCTTAAATAATTCTAATGAAAGTCCAAATCTTCTCAATGTTGATGGAAGACTATTCCAAATAGCGGGACCAGCAACTGCAATATCTCTTGAACCAATTTGAAGACGCGTAACTGGCACAGACATCAAATTTAGATCTACCGACCTGAGATGAAAAGTCGATGTAGCTTGTTTTTTGTCACTTGTCACATATTCTGGTGACATACCCCTCAATGATTATGATTTGAACGTAAGAACTGCAATTTTAAAGATTATTCTTTTATCTATTGTCAGCCAGTGAAACTCGTTCAGGGTAGGTGCCACATGATCAAATCTTAGGCCACCAATAACAATTTTTGCAGCTCTGTTTTGTACTGACTGAAGGATTGTGATTGATGTGTTTGGTAGTTTATAAAACAAGTTGTTGCAATAATCTAAACAATATTGATCTATATCTGGTTATTGCCTGATTCGATATATGCTTCTTAGGTAGATAACACTTGAGGCACAATTTTTTTTGATATAGTCCATCATTGACAATTTGCTATCTAGCAGAACGCCTAAGTTAAAAGCAGTATTGATAAATGAAATATCAACATCTCCTATTTTAACAGAGCTGAAATCAATCTTCGACAACTGCTGCCATGTTCCAACTGGAAGCAACTGAGTTTTGCATTCATTTAGCTCTAACGACCCACATCTGATAAACACTTGATAAATCTGTCGACCTCAAACATGAATAAACTCGGAGCACAAGGGATGACCAGCACCTGAATATCATCAGAAAAGGCATGACAGACGAAACCATAAGAGTTGATTAATTTGGTAATGTCCGACGTATACAGCGAAAAGAGGATGGGTCCCAAAACTGAGCTTTAAGGTACCCCTGATGCAGCTATTGAAATTTCAGAGAGTGAATTTTTAAATGAAACCTGTTGTGTGCGATTCGATAGGTACGATCTGAACTATTTATGGGCATTGGCTGTTATGCCATAATTATGACGCAACTTTGTTAAAAGAACATCATGGTTGACGCAATCAAACACCGCTGACATGTTCAGAAACAATAATAATGATATGTTCTGAGCGTCTGTAGCAGCAAACTAATTTGATAGAACATGCAGTAGTGCAGTTTCTGTTGAATGAAACCGCCTGCAATCTGATTGATGCAAAGGCATTAGAATGTTGTATGTCAAATGGTTAAGCAGAGTCCTGAGAACAACACGTTTCATGATTTTTGAGGTGAACAGAAGGTTCGATATCGGTCGGTAGTTTGCGACATCGTTGCTATCACAGTTGGCTCTTTTTAAAATCGGAAAGACTACGGCATATTTTAAACTTGCAGGAAATTCACCTGACCGAAGACAAAAGTTGAAAAACTTGCAAAAAAACAAATAAACAAATCTATGTGTTTCTTAAAATGTGCTTTGGAAAAATGTCTAGTAAACTTTTCTTGAAGGCAAATTAATTATTATATCTCTAAGTTTAGTTTCTGAAATTTTTATAAAAAAATTATAATAAAACAAGATTTGAAAGATTACTGTCATCATCCGACGTAATTGAAACGTTGGTAGACATAATGATCTTGCTGACCTTATCTGTGAAAAAATGCATGAATGAAAAATGCAAAAAATGAGCTGAGATGCTGTAAGGTTGACATCATCTTCAGATATATTGCTTTTTTAACTCTACATGAAACCTTGTTCACAATCTGCCAACAAATTTTAGAACTGTGGTTAGTTTTATGTAAATTTCTCCAATAGGATAGACGTTTTTCAGAATAAAGTTTATTTCTTGCCCTCAAAGAAACCAACCACTTATTTCTATTAATAGTCGTCAGGCGATTTCTGTAAGATCGTTCCATCTGTCTGCAGGTTAGTTTAGCCTGTTGGCAATCATCATTAAACCAAGGGGCCATACGCTCACCTCTGTCATAAGTCACACGCAAAGGGCAAATTTATCGACAATTCTTATCAACTTATCATTAAACTTTTTTAATTCATATTCATCCACATCATTTTAGCATGGTCTGGAGACTGGAGAATTTAAGATGGCTCTGGCAATTTATTTTTCATTCACATTTTTCCATGACCTGACGTAACTTTTAATTATTTTACAAGATGTCTGAATCGATGTTTCAACTACTATAAGATAATGATATCATATGATATAAAAAAATGATATCTGATCACAATCAGATATCATTTCACTTGGGAATATTTTCATGTTGACGACAGGAAAACCCTAAAAACTGGCAATCAAATCCAGAATGCCACCCAGGACAAGTGTTGGTTCATTAATGTTATTGACCAATTGGAATGTGTCAAATATTTCATTTAATCAACATGTTTATAGAAATTGCTCATCAGCAAAAAACTGAAATAAGTTCTTGATAAAATGAAACGAATAACTGTGCCGAACAAGGTCGATATATTGCAATCAAAATAAATATACTCTGATAATCTGATAGCAACTGCTTCAAACGTAGTCAGTGGTGGAAGATTAAATTTTTTAAACTTGAATTCTTTACGAAAATGTACTGCCAAGCTACCATGGCCTGGATATGCTGCCCAAAAAAATCAACAAATCAATACTTTGGTGGCATAGCTAAACACATAGAAGTGTTTCCAACTAACAATGCCAAATTCCTTTTAAACCAGTATATCCATTCCGTCACAAATTAATCAATGAACATCATCTACTTTTGAAAAAATTGGTCTGACATTTAACAATCCAAGTATAACATTGGATTTGAAATCATTAAAATTAGATCCTCGTTTTGTTACATCAATAAAGTTACTCTCAACCAAACCATACAAACCATAACTCGATCCCACTCTGTCATTATTCAATTTAATCACTTTTTGACGGAAACGGCACTATTTTCCACTTTCCTTCTCTGTGCGTGTATTTAAATACACATATTTGTATGAGCATACATACACTAGCAAACATTAATATTACATGAGTGTACGTACATATTTCTTGTCTAATCTTCTTTGGTCTTGTATGTGCACGTGCAGAGCATATATCTGTATGGACAATGCCAATATTTGCTTGTTTGATTGATGAAATTTCAAAAGAAGACTCATCATAATTTTAATTTCCAGAAACTTTCATTAAAGGCATCATTGCTTGTGTTCATATTTTTCATCTTCTTCTCTTGCACATTTCATTTCAAAAATACAATTTTTATTTTATTTGTTTATGGCATCAACATGTTCTATGTATGTTAATGCCATCATCATCGTTATTATCATCATTGTCATCACAATCATCATCCCCACCACCATCATCATCACCATCATCACCATCATCATCATCACCATCATCATCATCATCATCATCATCATCATCATCATCATCATCATCATCATCATAGTTGTCATCATTCTCATGTCAAATGTCAAACTTCATTATCAAGACATGATTGTTCATCACTGGCTCATGCTGTTTCAACAAGTACAAATGAATCAATGATTAAATAATAAATAAAATAAAAGTAAATAATTAAAAAAAATTACATTTTAGAAAAACAAAAAAAAATTAAAATATTTTGCTCATACAAATGAAGGCAGAGAAACTGTTGCAGAAACTGTTGTTAGTCATTGGAACATAAAGAACTGACAAACGTTTATGAAGAACGTTTTGAAAATCAGGAAAAAAAAAGAAAAAGTTTTCCAGACGTTTTGAAATTTTTTTTGAAAATAACTGTCGTTAAATTATTGCCATTTTTAACGCGGATTTTCATTTTTTTATTGACTCCATGGTGTTTTTTTTGTTATGAGTTAATTTTTTATTTTTCTATTTTAATAATTTTTGGTTATTATTATTATCATTCGAGTTAATGCTAATAGTAGCGTTTTATTTTGCTTTCATAATATTTTTGACTCTATGTTTCATGTTCTTGTTTGATTTCTTTCCTGTTAATAGAGCACAAGAATAACGAACACCACGTAACAACAAATTGTTGTTAATGTTGTTGTTGTTGAAGTGGGTCGTATTGGTGTTATTATTTCACGTATCAATCTTATTTTCCTTTTAGTTTTCCAGTTTCAAATTCGTAAAGGTTTCAATTTTCTTTCTGTTTTCGCCTACAATCATTCATTGAATTAGCTGTCAGATGAAACATAATGTCAGTGTTCAATTGAATTACTGTTGAATCACGTTACTCAATTCATTTTAACAACTTCAGAAATAGTTGTGTGTGTATGTGTGTGTGTGCATGTGTGTGAGTGCGAATGTGTGTATGGAGTATGTGTGAAGTGTAGCCTATTAGTGCATATATAATATATTTAACAAGCATACACACACAATGTCTGCCAGTAGAGCTGCAGCGTGCCAAACATTGTAAGTCTCAAATTGGAAACCAACACATTCATAATGTCAGAAATTTAAATATATTAATATTAAAACCGAAAAAAATGTTGAGCAGCATAACTTGTACGTATTTCACGAAAAAAGTTTTATCATTATCTTCTCTACTTGTCATATGGTTATTGAATTTGTATCAATAAACTCTTCAAAATTGATTAATGTTTGATGGTGTTGTATACAAATTCCGATAAAATTAAACTGAATAGTGTTTAATGAATTGTAGTACGTTAGTGGATTGATTACATTGGTCTAATAAACCTGTCAAAAAATAAATTGTTTTTCGTTCTATACAAATACTCCGAGATGACAGAGTCATCATATTTTGGACATGTACAATTAGAAAAAAAACATAGACGATTTTTCTTTTAACTTTTCAAGATTTTTTGTTCTCGGCCTTCACGTTTCTATGACAGCCATCTTAAATAACTGTGCAGCGTAGAAGCCATGCAGCGTAATAAAACCGAAAACAGGAAGACAACAATTCGGTGGAAGTAGCGTGCAGTTGCTGCGGGCCTGATTATCGTTTGTTACACCATAATTTATACGATATCATCTCATCCAGTGTAGAGAACATCAAAGAACAGCTGAGCACACTTCAGGTTTGGCTGAAGAAATTTAAATGCTCTGAAAAATAAAAAATCAGGAGGTGGTGTCTCGATGAGATGCTGAACCCAGTCTGATGATGACTCCTCACTTTAAAAATAAGCACTACTCCGGTGAAAAGTCGATAATCGCATGAAACATTCGGACAGCGCATTCTCATTTCATGCTGTTGAATTTGTTAACGTTGACGTGATTGGCACTCGGCAATGCAAAATAAAAAAAAAATCTTTAAAAATGTGAGAACGCATTTCGACATTGGAATAGAAACAAAAATAGCTTCTCTATAACCACGTAAGACACACAACAACAACGGTATTAATATTTTTTTGTCTTCCCGCCCTTCTCAAACTCAAAAAATTCGCACGTTCTTAATTAATTTTTTCAAAAAATGCTGCTTCAACCGCTGGGCTGTAATGTTTTGAATTTAGTTTGTTATTTCTTCTTGGCTAATAATTACTTCATGACCGTCAGGTTGTCATTGGAAAATTATGAATGAATGATGAAACAATTTAACCTAACATCATTACAATGCATCAGGACTATGCGTTAGTTAATACAATGCATCATTTATTACAATGCATCATTACAACGCATTTAAACAATGCATCATTACAATGTTTTAATACAGTACATCATTCATTACAATTCATCATTACAATATTTTTTTTTACAATGCATCATTACAATGCACAATTACAATGCATCATTCATTATAATGCATCAATAAAATTCATCATTCATTACAATGCATCATTAAAATGCATAATTTTTTATAATGCACTATTGCAATGCATCATTATAATGCTTCAATACAATGCATCATTTCAATGCATCATTACAAAACATCTTTACGATGAATCATTCATTACAATGCATCCCAAGCCTTTCCACAACGCAACCTCACATCAACTTTGCGCATTGAAAAAATGTTCACGTTTTCATTCGTGCCTTATTTGCTTTGTTTGAAATTCTTTGGATTTCTTTCAGCAACAATCTCAAAAATTTGAATGAATAATTTTTTTCTGACACTTTAAAAAGTTTCGAATAATCAAATTTAAGTGCAGGCAGTATTCAAGCCATGCCATCGCGTAACTGTACCAGACACGGCACTTTTACCAACTAACTTGACTTTTCTAGCCACCTAGCCACTGGGTTAAATGAGTTGTTTGATGATTCTGTCACTTCCTTTGGAAGATCGAGGAGTGCAATCTTTTTTGACCGCATCCTCAAAAACAAAGTCGTACTAGTCTATTTTCAGATTAAATATGGTAAGTACACCAAAGTTTTCATTGCATCTAAATGAGTAAATTCGATTTTTAAATGTTTTGAAGTTCTGTTGAACCAAAAAATTGAGATTAATGATGTTAAAGCAAAATATAAAACTAGAAAATTAAAAATGCGACATTTAAAAACCGTCCAGTTGCCAGCAAATTTTGTGTTGAAAATACGTAAAGCTCAGAGCAACTTTTTCATCGCGTTTGAATAAATACACAATTGTCAAAAGTGTATATATGCGTTTGTGTTTGTGTGTGTTTGCGTGTTTTCAATTATGCAAAAACATTAATTTTAATGTTCAAATACCGTTATAAAATAACTAAGTCATAACATAAATATTTGTTATGTTACTCTTTAAAACTGAGTTTGGATGGAAAATTTTTACTTATACAACAGTGTTGGCCAACAACAAAGAAAAAGAAAATTTTTATCGCAGGTGCATTAGATAAGTTTCAATAAATGCACCAAATGTATACAAATATGTCGCTAATTTAAATGCTCGTTCATTTGTTTCAAGTTTCACTGTTCTCTGATATTTTTAATGTCCTTCAATAAAGTTTCAATTTGCAGTCAACAGCTTCTTTTTTTCTAATCTAACAAATGTATTCAATGCTCTTTCATGTTTTCATCAATTTTAATAATCCCAATAAGACAGTCTGAATTGCAATAAAATCATAAGGATATTAATTATTAATTATATTCAATTGAATCCCTTTCACAGAGTATGTAGGAATGCTTCTCTAACAAGTGTTTCTATAAAATTTGCTTCTATGCAATGTAGCCAAAATGAAAATATAATGTTTTTTTTCATACAGACACAAACAATAACACTACTGCACAATAATGTCTGAAAATTGTTATAAGGTTTTGTATAATTAGTTATTTTTCGGTATATTTTAAAACATAAAGATAAAAGAAATTTAGAAAAAAAAACAATTAAAAATACATCAGCTGATTTTAAATGCTATTTAAAGTATATTTTATTATATCATAAGCTAGTAGCATTTATTTTGAATTGTCAAGCAAAAGTTGGAAAAACTTTTGAGAGTCGGAAATTTTCTCTCGGAGTTGGACAAATTTTTATCACCGACACGAACGGACATCCTATTTTCAATTTTGAAACCAAATCGCTAATTAGGTCGGCTTGTTTAAATTGTAATTAATTAAAGGTCGTCAATTTTTAATTATTTCTAAACAATAAAATGGTTGTTAGAAAGTAAATATGTGTGCACTAAAATATTACTAAAATTATAGCAACAAAGTTTCCTAATGATTTGACCCATACATGCCCAGACACGTTTATAGAGTCTACGCAGTTTTTAACGTTTTTAATTCATGATACCGGATGTTATATAAACATTTTGTTAACAAACAAACACGTTAGCAAATATATTCTTTGTTAAATTAATGTTTTATTTTAAAAAAATATTATTTTATCGGTTTTTTACGAAGCGTCGAGTCAATTTTTCAAACTTCATCGTGTCTTCATCAAAAACCTTTGTAAATTAGTATTTTATTATTCAAAATTAATTCTTGATATATTCTTCTTGTTGTCGCACGTGTTTAGTTAGTTTTAGTACAAATATAAGTAAACTTCAAATAAGTTGTAGCGTAGTTTTTACCATTTGGAGAGAGTTTTTGGTGAGCCTTTATAAAGGTGGCTGAGCATTTGCTTGAAGTATGATATATTATAGTGTGTTTGACCTGCTACGTTGTGAGGTTTTAGTGATATGTATATTTTTTTGTATTGCTGAATTATTAAAAATGTAAATTATGATAAAATTATTTTATTTTTTAGGAAATACACTGTTCATGATCACGATGCAATGTGCATCATTGAAAGTGGAAAACTCAACAAAGCTATACATTTCCCTTCTTGGTATTTGACAGAAAAAGATGCTGCTGGACTTTTATACAATGTAAATAGAAAACTACTCCAAGCGGAGTGCGAAGCTGTTGTTGTTCCATGAACTTACATGAAGAAATCGAATTTGAAACATTTCCGATACTAAGATGAAAAAGAAAGTAGTTCAAAAAATATCAATGATGTTGAATTAATTATTGAAAAAAAAATTGGAACAGCCTGAATTTAGTGAAAATGAAGAATTATTACTACCTGAACATGCTAAAAATGATGAGTCTCAGCATTGCCCGCACCGTGTTAGAATATCATCCAGAAAGCAGCCCTGTGCATTCAAGCAAGCGATAGCAATTCAATCAATGGTAATAAATATTTATCACAATCTGCTAAGCGACAGTGTGTAGCCAAACATATTTGCAACTGGTTGAAGCAAGATCTGACACAACTTATCAATAAATTTATAAAAAAAACAGTCCACCAAAATCAATAACAAAAATCTTTCTCCATCATTATGGTGTAAGCAATTGTCTAGTGATGGCCTGTTACAACTGATGGTGCGAGAAATAATTAGTTACGCTGTGTTGAAAAAAAAATTACTAGAAAAGCTAATTTCGTTTGCATGAAGTGAGACGTGGCATTACATTCAAAAGAGTGTTTTATCAAATTTCATTGGCATTTCAGATTTACTAACAATTTAATGTTTGAAAATTATTTTGCAACTAAAGCATTGTTTGAATTCCAAATAAAATTTTAGAAACTATGACGCCATGTGTTTGCATGTTTAGTAAGATTGCAGCATACACTAAAAGTTGTGCCACATGCTTAGCCAACTTCATTCAAATTGCTGTAGAATAAAAACGGCTTAACTTTTTTGAAAATTTTCTTCAGATTTGCGTTTTGTACACTAAGATATACACTTTATATTAATTTAACAAAAATATAAAAAGTTTGGAATATATGGGTTGATGATTTAGGATTTCCCTTCAGTTCATTATCTGTTTGTTATAGTCAGTTTAAACTTTAGATTATTATGAAACAAAGCTGTTTCTAACTGAAAATGTTTAAAAACGTTTATAAAAACAACAGTAAATAACGGTTTCCTTTACGGAAACTAAACTTATGCTGAATTTAAAAGATTGATGGTTGTAATTAGTTATAATGGAAACTTTCACGAAAGACATTTGTTTAAATGTACAAAAATAATATAACAATTTTTCGAACAGAAAAAAAATCACTTTTTACAAAAAAAATTGGGACCAAGTCATGTCAGTTCATCGAGATTTTAAATTAATTCGGAATTCAAAAAAATATTTTGTTGGTGATCGCAGGTCTACACTGCAACGTCATTGTTTAGTATTCTAACATATGCAATAATAACGAATAAGAACGTTTTTGTTATTCGTTCCTTGCCAATATTTGCAATTTGATCGATAGAAAAACTTTTACAAACCAAACCAGAACGTTTTCATTAGCAGTCAGCCTAGGCTAATTCATAAAGCCTTTGTAAACTTTTATTTTATGTAAACCTTATAAATAATGATGCGCTTCAGTGACTGGTTGTGGCCTTCATTTTGACTTGTTTAGACTATTGCAATTTCTTGATTTACTCTGTCAATCAGTCAGTTCAAAATTTTTCATCCAGAATAATATTTGGACTGAAAAAGTTTGATCATAATTCTGAATAATGAAAGTCTATTCATTTAGAGTTATTTTTAAAATAATTGCTGTGTTAGATTTAAAATGTATTAATAATCTTTGTCCTGAATATTTAGAATCTGTTTGTTGGTTGGTTGGTTGGTTGGTTGGTTTGTTGGCTGGCTGGATGGTTGGTTGGTTGGTTGGTTGGTTGGTTGGTTGGTTGGTTGGTTGGTTGGTTGGTTGGTTGGTTGGTTGGTTGGCTGGTTGGCTGGCTGGATGGTTGGTTGGTTGGTTGGTTGGTTGGTTGGTTGGTTGGTTGGTTTGTTGGTTGGTTGGTTGGTTGGTTGGTTGGTTGGTTGGTTGGTTGGTTGGTTGGTTGGTTGGTTGGTTGGTTGGTTGGTTCGTTGGTTGGTTGGTTGGTTGGTTGGTTGGTTGGTTGGTTGGTTGGTTGGTTGGTTGGTTGGTTGGTTGGTTGGTTGGTTGGTTGGATGGTTGGTTGGTTGTTGGTTGGTTTACAAACATATAAGCTGTCTTTTAGGTCTTCCACGATGGATTGTTATAAATAATTTTTAGTACTAAAAAGTCCTTAGAGATAGGAATATTTTATTTCCGCACCTTCTATGAGGAACTCCTTACCGAGGGTGATTCTTACTTTGTCTTTCTTTAACCACTTTTTTTCGTCGTCATAAATTTTATCTTTTTATTTAAGCTTACTTTCGAGTAATTGCATTGTTTTAAACATAAAAAAATCACTTTTGCTTTTATAAAACACAAGAGCGATTTTAAAGATCACTTTCCAACGTGCAAAAAAGTTGTAAACACAAACGTTACCATTTGATTTGGATTTAATACAATTTTTAAATCACAATTCTCTAAAATATTTTCACTAAAATCCCAAGAATCACGCATTTTATTTTATTTTAATTGTGAAATTAATAAAATCGTGACACAACTTATACAATATGTGTTGAAGTTTATAACCAGAATGTTTTATTTTGTGCTAAACCCTTGGATAAAGTTAATAAAATTCGCATTTTTCTGTTTCAATTTACTTTAAAATTGCCTCTGAAAAAATATTTGAAAAAATTGTTTCATGACTTATTGGTTTCTCAAATGTGCGAAATAGGATCATAAATCAACTTCCGTCACGTCAAAAACGAATTTGAAAAATATAAATACATTTTTTCTTCACACATTCACAAAATTTTGTCAACTTTTAAAAAGGTCATGATCATTTTTTACTATTTCATCAGGCCGCCTGTGCTCACAAGAAAGCTCCTGCTGGAAATAACACCAACAACAATAACACGTCACTGTTATTAATTTTATTCTTTACAATGCAGCTCTTTCAAACGCAGAGCAACATAAAACATGTTATTCTATAATTGTGATAAAACCTTCGTTCCACGAAGGCTGTACACCATCCTCACCACACGATGCACACACGCATCATGTATGCACGCGCCTATGATGGTTTTTTAGTTTCGGACAGACAGTATTCGAACCATGCCATCGCGTAATAGCAACGCAAGACAAGGCACTCCTACCGACTGAACTAACTTGGTGATCATGTTATTATTAATGAGTAATTTTATATTAGAAGCAGTAACAGAAATAGTGGCAATAATTAGCTAAGCAGTGATGGTGCTTGTACTTTGTAGGGATAATTCTTTTGGTTTTTGAGTTTTTTTAAATTTGTTAAACAAGTAATTGTTGTTTTCATCAATCATATTTGTAGTTTAAGTTGTTAGTGTTTTAATAGTAACAGACGCATTTATCATGCAAGCCCTGTAGTTGAGACGTGTTCCAGGTTAGTGCTAAGTAAGTAATATTTCAAAAAAACAAAACATCACTGACTAGGAAACTGGAAAAACTAATATAAGATTTGACGTGACGTGGAAAAACTTCATGTTACATTATTCCAAAACCATCCACTGTTTACTTAAAACATATTCTAAATTGGGTGAAATCGTTGACAACTAATGTTTGATGAAAATTAGATAAAAAGTGCATGAAAAACTTTTAAGGGAGAAATGAAAGTGTACCTAACCGATCCAAATCCTCTTTCACTATTGTTCGAAGCACTTTGACTGATTGGCGCGGCTTACACATCCATTCGTCAGTCCTTTTGATTGATGTTACTGAGTGAATGAACGTCATCGAAATAAATGAACGATTAATCCAAATGTGAATATGACAAAAGAGTTCATTATTTGGCGGGCTTTTTAATTTTAATCGTTCATTTTCTTTTATAAGAATTGACAAAAATTAAGTGGACAGGATTTATGAATGTTAATATTGAATTGCTTTGAATGTCAGGATGATATTTTTATATGTAGAATAGAATTTATGTTTTAAAAAACAATTATGTCATGCCTCTCTTCAGTAACAAAAGTTGAAGACTGAAGAATAATTATTATGATAATCCCACCCTTGAAAAATTATTCATTTTTTATCATTCTTTATAAGCCATTTCCGACTTTATTTAAAGTTGCCAACTTTATATTAATTATCAGTAAGCAGCTGTGCAAAAACAGAGCTGCTTTAAGACCGCCTGAATAAAATACAGAACTTACCCCTACATGATACAGGCACCTTGCAATGTTAAACTGTTTGTTAGTATTCTAGTGTGTCGTTGCGCTAAAACTTGCTTTAGTAGCAATAAATCCTTCCTTTGGCACGCATCTATCGCATTAAACAAGATCAGAGTTCCTGAAATTTAAGTTAATGTCAAAGTTTTATTTTCTGAGGGCTAACACCGAGTGCTCCAACTCCAATTATAACGTTTTATTGAAAACAACTAGACAATATTTAATTTCACTAGGCGAGCAGCAGCGTGATTGGAACGTGACAATTTAGATTTTTGTGCCCACCTACCGTTTGTTTTATCAACTTTTTAAAACTTCGAAGCATCGGAATTTCAGCCCAATATTTCACGGTAGGAATTACATTTTTCAGTTATAATTTCTTAAACGACAATTAATGACTTGGTCAAACTTCAGTTCATTTTCTCCACAGATCAGATCAAAGGCGATAATTTTGTAAATTTCAGCATATTCATCGGACAAGAATAATTAATTTGGCGAAAATTATTATCACACGACCTTCCATAAGATCGATTCTCTATGGACAATCTTATGATGTCTAAAAGACAAGTGAATAGTTTGAACGAATGTACATGTGACTTACCGTCATTTCTTACCTTATCAAACTAAAAAGCGGGTGTGAAAATTTTAAAACACATTTATACAAAGACAAAGTGGATTTACAAATATGGTTTAACTAAAATTCAAATAGAAAAATTTGTTTCGGTCACTAATGCATTGTGAGTCAATCAAAAATGAGACCTGAAGCATCTAGTTCTAGTGATTTCATGTGCGAAATAAGAAAAATACCGCAATCGATAAATTCATTCATAATACTGAACATTTTTATAAATTAATATTTTTCTGAAGATGAAAATTATTTACAATTGTACACAATCATTAAGTTTTGAATTTTTGATGAAGCATCGAAAACCTTTGCCATCTAAAACTAGATATTACTAGTTTTTCAGGTCAGCAACTTTTTGCTGCGGTGAATCATTTATGCGAATGTCTTTTAAATCTAATAAATTTTCTAATTTCTTCACCTTTGCCCTGAGTATCTGTTTAAAAAATAAAACTATTAAAAATATCATAAAACTGTAGTGGTAGTTAATTATGTTTTAGATCAACATGAGCAAACCAAAACTGACATCGATCGTCTCTTCTTTTGATACCAAATCAATCTCTTTGCTGATGAGAAGTTTCTGAAGACTGCTGATGATTTCCATGTGGTTGACTCCTCTCATCTGAGCCTCCTGCTTGCTAGTGCTTTCCGGCATCAGGCTAGATTCAATTTCAGTATCAACTTTTATTCCGTTCAATGCTTGTTTCAGTGAAATCAACTTAAATTATCATTTTCCAGACACAATTTATAAATACACACATCTAATCACCTTGTTGCTTTGGAAATAATTTCATTTTTTTTCCTAGCATCACCTTTGTCCATATTTGCTATAAAATGTTAAAATTAGTTGGGATGCACATGAGAAATAATTTTCAAAGCATGTTACCTACCTACAAATTGATCCTGATTGTGCTGCTGATCAGCTTCTGGCATGTCTGATGAGTTTAAGAGGCTTTCAATCTTACATCTGAGGAGCAACAAAAACTGTTGAATGGAATTTGGCTGGCATGTTACAACACTCCTTATCACATCTTCACTTATCTCAAATTTAAGTTTACGGAAAACTTTCCTAGAGGTTAAAGTTTTGCAAAATTAAACAAATTAAAAAAATCATCAAATAAATAATATATATACTTGAAAATAGTAAATTGAAACATGGAAGGTTAGTGTTTTATAAATGTTGTCTCCTCAAATATTAAAACCCAAATTGAAGGGCTTATTTATGAACAAAGAGAGAGCAAAAACATAATTAAAAATAAAAGCTGTTTCAATAGCTAGATGACAAATATAGAGACAGTTATAAAAAAGAACCTCCCCATACCTGTTTAAAATCTTCCAGTTGGTCATTTTGTTATTAACTCCAAGTGCTGAAGGGTAGTTGTGTAAATCAACAAATGTTGGAAAAAAGTGCTTGACCACTTCTGCAACCAAAACTGGAATTATGAAACAAATTTTTAACTTAAAATTTATCTCAGACATTTTTCAAAAATTAGATGATAAAATAGAAAATAGTTTCATCTTTTTTTGAAAGTTCATTATATGTTTATCAAATAAGAAAAAGATGATGGTTATTGCTAATTAAATGAAAAATTAGAATAATTATATTAAAAAAAAATAAATGAAGAGAAAATAATTTAATAATCTGATGCCATGTTATGATTGCTACTTAATTTAATATTATTTAGAGAGCTAAATACCTTTATTCATTTTTTAATGGAGGGGTTGATTCGATCATTAATCATGGTTGTTTTATTTATATATTTTTATTAACATTAATAACCAACCCCCATCAGAGAAATCCCTCTTTAAATCTTTTTTGGGCCTGGAGAGGGGAATCTTGTCAACCCAGGCATATAAATCTTCCATTAATTCCTCATTCATTTTTTAATAGCTGACTGAACGTTCAACTTCAAAAGAAACGTTTTTTGAATTTAGTAATGTTAAACTACTATTGCTATAGAATAGTTATAAGTGTTTTTTGAGGTTATTAAAATTTCTTTTGTTAATGACAATTTAATTATGAAATTAATATAACAAAACTTTTTTAGTTAAAGTTGTTACTGCAGATCTTATACTCGAGGAGTTAGTGATTATCTTCAAAAAATTTCGAAGCATTTATTATCGATGTTGGAAGAGATGTTTTCATATATTGTATCCAACGTAATGTTGACGTTAACAGTTTGACGTAGCAACAAAACTTTAGCAAAGTTTATCAAAGAACATTAATTTAACTTTATTTTTGTACTAAGTCATATACTTATAATGCTTTGAAGAGTAATTATAAGTATTATCTATTGTGAAATAACTAAAAAAATTAACTAATTTTCATGTTTTATTCTAAGCATGTATAAAACATTAATTAATACAACTACAATCTCATCAAAAATTTAATTCGCCTCAACTACTTGCCTTCATCATATCTACAGTCACTCAAGTATTCAGCACACACGATTCAAGATTCATCAAAAAAAAAAAACGAATGCTACCCATTCTCTACGGTCTGTAGTGGTAGATCTAAGTGCGGGGCCATGGCAGCAGTATTCCTATAAAAATTCAATAAAATTCAGTGTACATACAGGAAGAAACCGTTTTATGTAGAGAATTGAACAAAAATTGCTGTGAGAGAAGAAAAAAAGATTGTCAGCCTAATTTTCTTATTTTCAAAATTGTTAAACATTTTCAAAACTATGCCTCTCCCGTAAAAAATTGTCTAGTACGCCAATGACACCAGTGGCGCATCTAGGATCACCGGAAGCACTAACAGCAACGACATCAGACGCCACACGTCTATTAATTGATGTAAATAGCAACGAAACAGAATGTGTTTAGTTAATTGATCAAAAATAAGATATGCAAACGGCTACAGGTCAACGGCGAATCAAGTGGTTTATTTCAATTTCTATATGTAACTTGTCAAAAACAATCCTATTTAGTAGAGACATTACAAAAAAATTTAAGAGATGATGGCGTGTGTAGGTGATACAGTTCGACAAAAAGTTTTTTGATCTTAAAATAGTACGCGAATGATTCAAATATGCGCTAAGATTGGCAAGTTAATTCAGCCATTAATGAGTGCTACGACTTTCGTTATTATTGGTGACCAGCTTCGAAAGCCGTCTGTTCAAACTTCGAGTTCAAAATGAAACGGCTTAAGAACAATTTGCAAACAGATCTGCATTTGCCAGCGTTGCATTATAAATGAAAAATAATAATTAAAAGATGAGTTTGTGAATGGAAATGAGATAATGATATCACGCGATAGAATTATAGCTAAAATTTATAGAATTTTAATAAATCATTCGGGCTTATCATACACCCCAGACGTAAAAAAATAACATTATCTCTAGAGCATCCATCTAGCACTAACACAAATCCATTAAAATTATTAGGCATTGCATTCACTACCACATTCAACATAGCATCAAACATTAACCACATCATCAACAGTGTTCGAGTTAGAGTCGGAGATTTGTTCCGGAGTCGGAATTTTTTAAAAGGCAAGGAGTAGGAGTCTGGTTTTTTATCCGTCTCCGAAAAATGTTATTTAATTTCATTTTATTTTTTCTAAAATCTTTTTAAAATTGTGTTTTTAAAGGATAAATTTAGCGATAAGCAATCATCTTTAATACTAAAAATAATTGCTAATAATGCGAATAAAATCATAAAATTTTTTCTCAGTATGTTGTAAAAAAAATAAAGCATTTTTACTAAGAAAAACAGTTACATCGACTGATTTTAAGTGTTTTTAAAAGTATTTTTTATTTAGTATTGATAAGATGGTGAATAAAATGCAAAAGTTTAAAAAATTTTCAGTTCGTTTTAAAACGTAAAAATAAATAATTATACTAAGAAAAACAATTACATTTCAATGACTCGTTTTAAGTGTTTTTTAAAGTTTATTTTATTAATTAGCGATAGTAGGGTGAATTTATGATGCGAAAGTCAAAAAATGTTTTTGGAAGTCGGAGTCGGAATTTTTTGAGGTGCTGGATTCGGAGTCAGATGTTTTTAACCCGACTCCGGCACACTGATCATCACAAAAGGGTTACAAATATTTCACGTACTTAAAACACTTCGCTCACATGGTATCAAAGACGCCAAATTATTCAACATCACAGAATCTCACAATCTCAGACATCAAATATGCAGCAAATAACTACAATCTCTCATAAAAAAATCAATTCGTCTCAACTACTGACTTTCATCATATCCTACCGTCACACAAATATTCAACGCACTCAATACTCAATTCAAGGTTTTTCAAGAAAATTGAAACTAATATTAACAACGTCATCCACCCTGTACTATACCGTCTACCATCAATCAAAACTACTAGGCGCAACTTCCATCTTTGTAAACATGATTATTATCAAATCACTACTCAGATAATCAACCCACCAGGATAAAACGTTCATCCTAAAACATCTAAAATTAATACAAAGTAACCATTCGTCATTTGTTTAACTAATGTTTATTCTATTTTTTTATTGAGCCCATTATAAATCATTTATTTAGCTAATCATTAATTAATTAATTTATTTATTAATTTATCAATTTCGAAAATCATTAATTAATTTCCATACGTAACTCTAAATCTCAGCATTCTAGGTTTGAGCGAAACTTCTAAGCTGAAGTACGGATTCGTTTTCAGTTATCGACGGAAGACGTAAATAAATCTAAATCATATCTCTGATGGATGAACGAAGGAAAGTAAAATGTTGCAATCCTGATAGTAATAAAAAGCTGAACAAAACAATCAAAAAAATGTGCTTAGTGGCAAAGGAGAAATGGTTAGATGACAAGTGCCAAATCATTGAAAAGATTAACAACAGTAATACAAATGCAATGTATAGTAACATCAAAGAAATCACTGGAAAAAAAGGCTTGCACCGTTTTCGGATGCATAAAAGCTAAATCCGGTGAAATAATATTAGAGAAAGAAAAAGTACTTGAAAGATGGACTGAATAGATTAACGATTTTTTGGATGATATCCGCGGTGAAAAGCCTCCTATAAAAAAAACGTAGAAAGACCAAAGATACTTAAATCTCATTTACGTGCCGCTCTTTCCAAAATGAAATCAAATAAAGCGCCAGGTCCAGATGAGATAGTTGTTGAAGAAATTTAATGCCTTGATGAATTTGGCATTGAAAAAGCGACATAAATTTTAAATAAATTTTGTAACAGCGGCAAACATCCTGAAGAACTATCCAAGTCAATATTTATTGCATTGCCTTAAAAACCTAATGCAACGGAATGTGCAACGGAATTTTCATAGAAGTCTAGTACCTACAGTCAGTTTAAATGAGTCATCTTACAAAACTTCTATGAAGAATTCTGACGATGAGAGCACGAAGCAAAGTCAGATCTAAAGTTTCGAACATCCAATGTGGTTTTGTAGAGGATTGTGGCACAAGAAACGCCATCTTTATGCTACGAATGATCTGTGAACGAGCGATTGAAATGAAGAAAGACTTGTTTATACGTTTTGTCAATTACTTCAAAGCTTTTGATAGCGTGAAATGCGTAGAGCTTATGCGAATATTGGAAAATTTGGACAAAGATGAAAAGACACGAAAGTTATCAAAAACCTCTATTGGGGAAAAGAGCAGCGATGAATGAAAAACATCTTCACCAACAGTAAAATTAGAATATCAACAAAATTAAAACTGCTAGGGTGTTACATTTTTTCTGTGCTAACTTACTGCTCTGAGTTCTGGACAATTTCTAAAGAAATGGAAAAAAGATTAACGCTGCTGAGATGTGGTTTTTGAGAAGAATTATGAAAATTAGTTGGACCTCTCATACTTCGAATGAGGATGTATTAAAACAGTCTGGTTATAAAAAGAGGACTACAGATAATCTGACGGGGGCAGTTAAAGTTTTTTGGTCACATCATGCGGAAGGAAAGAATGGAAAATCTAACAACTACTGGAAAGATTGCAGAGAAAAGAAATCGCGGTCAAAAACGAATAACATTCGTGAAGTCCTTGTGTCACTTGTTGAATATGACCACATTTCAACTCTTACAAACAGAGCCGGATTAAGGCCCTAAGGCACATTTTTATAAGTGGCCTAAAAATATATTACAATACAATACTACTTACAAAGTGTTAAAGATCGGGTCTTGTGGAGGTCGATGGTCGCCAATGTCCTGAAAGGATAAGGCACGAGAAAGATGAATGAAGAACTCTATTTATTTGTTTCATTTTACAATAATGTCTAGCGTTATAAGTATATATATGGTTTTAACAGATTCTACGTCTATCAGATTCCGATTTTTTAAAGAATAAAAAAACTACATTATGTCTTGCACTGGCAATCCAGCTTATTCATGCCATTAGCAATTAGGACTTTGGGCATGTCTCACAACTGCGGCTCATGTAAAAGCTATTTCAATTTAGTTTTAAAATAACTGAACTATTTAATTGAGTTGTTTTTTAATGTGTGCGTAAATCAAAATAAAAACCGAAATTCTAAGTATGTAGGATAGAAAGGTTGAGGTCGTATAAAAATATTTTTGCAGAATCACGTGTTCGTTCTATGCTAGAAACCGAGATAACAAAAACTTGCATAAATAAACAAACGAAAAAACGAGTAGTTAGGTATCCTGGCGAATAACAAACAAACAAAAAATAGGAGCAAGATTGGGGAGATGGCCGTCTCAAATTGTCAGTTGCGTTGTAATTACTTATAAATTGAATTCTTTGTGCTGTGCTGATGTGTACAGCTGACCCATGGTCGTCCATTGAGTTGAATTATTTATTACAATTAATAATTAAATTTATTAAAATTAAATGATAATAAAATAATATTTAATATTGAATAATTATTATTTATTATTATTATTATTATTATAGTAAAATTAACTAAGCAGGCCAATATAATTATTATTGATTACACTGCCATTACTATATAAAATAATAACTACAACAAACTGACTTCTAAAGTTTTAAACTTTTAAAGTTTTAAACTATTAACTAACCAAAATAAAAGAAAAATTCTCTTCTAAACTCTGGTACTTATTTTACTGCTGCTAAAAAATTAACCAACCAACTATAAATAACTGCTTGCTAACTAGTTATTAAATCATTCAAAAATAAGATTAAAATATGCATAAAACAGACATTGCATTAAGATTAAGAAAAGATTAACATCAAATTACTGAAGTATTTAGTTGAACTTTTAGTTTATTATAATTATAGGTGTATAATAAATATAATATATATACATATAGATAATACTATATACTATACATACAGTATATATGTATGTATATATACTCAATACTGGTATGCTAAATATTTTCATTGATTTTAGTTTTTAGTAGTCAATAATCATAATGAAACTTCTATATATATATGTCTTATATAATGTACAAAAGTTGAACTTCTTTATACATGTTTTATAGAAAAATAAAACGTTTTTGAAAAGTTGTTTTGTGAAAATCATTGTTCGGGTGAAGTTGATAAGGGATTCTTGACAATAATGATATTTTAATATGATGAAATAGTCATTTACTGTCAGTCAAAAATAACAGCACCAAGATATATTATACCATGAATGACTTTGTGACCCAGTTATCTGAGTTAGTTTTTTTTGTTTAATTGATTAATTTAATTGATTGATTAACATAATTTTATAATTAGTTTTTTAGTCCTTCAAATATAAACAGCTCATAATATTAGCATAAATTGTGTACATTATTTTATAATTATATTTTACTATAATTATATTTAACTAATATATTTATATTACTCTTTCAATTTGAGAGTTCTAATTTGTTGGTGGCATAGGAACGGCAGTTCGCGCCTCATTATTTTCTGTTTATGTTATGTTACGTTAACTCAACTTGCTTAATCAATACACATCGGATATTTTTTCAAGATAAAAGTATGAAAATGAAACCTTAATTTTGTGATGATTATTCACTCTTATCTTTCGTAAATGGTGTTAATTTAATAACTTCTACTTCTAAATAAATATATTCTAGTTCTTGTTATATTTTAATGATGATACAAATGTCTCAAAATGCTTTGATGTACCTTCTCCAGTTATTGGGTTTGTTTTTTTTTGTTGTTTGAATCATTTTTTCTAGTGCAAAGTGGTTAATATCCAATATTTACTAAAAATTAGAGTTCACTGCAGTACTACATGTTATTTGCCAGCTGTTGTAAAAATTATTGATGTAAGGCGTTAATAATAAGGCATCTTAACATATGGTTTGGTTAATTTATGTTTTTAGATCTAATTTTTATTAATTTTTAATGACTTAAATTTTTAATATGAAAAACAGTTTTTATTTGATATAAATTGAAATAATATGAAGTGAATTTCCTATTCATATGAAAGAATTATAAAACTTATTGTACTTAAATTTTTTAAGTGTACATAATACTACATTCTTGCATGTGTATTTGTAAATTTGCTCAGGTTTTACTTCTATTTCTTTTATAATAATCATGTCTGTGTATTTGGTTGGACATTTTCACTCTCACACACAAACACACTTTGTTTCACACACACACACACACACACACACAGAGAGAGAGAGAGAGAGAGAGAGAGAGAGAGAGAGAGAGAGAGAGAGAGAGAGAGAGAGAGAGAGAGAGAGAGAGAGAGACACACATCCACAAATATAAACACACGTGCACAGCATAGAAAGTGTGGACAGCAGAATTGGAAGTGCCATGTCATGTACATTTGATAAGCTGTCCCTCAGTCACTCACTGTCATCATCAGGTTTCCTCACTGAAAACAGCAGTTTGTTCTCAATGACTGAAAATGTTGGTCTCTTGTTGTTAAAAATTCTTCCTTATTTATAGTTTATTCTTATTTTTTTTTTCATATTTTTGCTGCATGTTACGAACTTCTATTAATTTTTGTATGCTGTGAGATATGAATTGAAAATAAATGAATCAATCAAGCAAATAATATAAAGTGTCTTTGAATTTTTGAATTTAAAGCTGCTGATGGGAAAAGAGAATAATTTGTAAATTAGCTGTCTCTTCATTATAATTTAATTACTTTTAAATTACTTCATTATATTTCAATTGCTTTTAAATTATTTCATTATATTTCAATTGTTTTTGAATTACCAGATATTAACATCAAGCACTATGATTGATAAATTTATTTTTCAAAATATGTTCATATAGGTGGTGCATGGATATAACCAAATTACAAATTTTCTTATTGTATTGGTATACCTATGTTTTAATATATGTTTTTTGTATCTGTTTGTATACAAAATTCTTTACAGAAATCAAAGTTATTACTTCAAATTCAAGTTAGTTTATTAGGTCATCAATAACGTTCTAGACTGGGCTTGAGATTAATGCTGGAAAGCTAATAAGAAAAACCTTAGTCACAAGTTGTAACATAAAATGTAATGGATGCACAACTCTGGCTATGGCAAGATTTGTGTTTGTATATTTAAAAAGTCCAATTTGGTACATCTCTAGTTTTTTAGTTTATTAGAATGCTGACCTTACATTAATAATGATGACAATCTACTGGGAAGAAATTTGCTTTATTTTTTTTATAATTTCTGGAACATATTCAGTTGTGTTTAGGAAAATATTTGGTTCAGCGAATGGTTTAAGTTTAACTAATTAGGTCACGTTTGCTGATCTGTTAATTTGTTTTTCAAGCCTTAATTAGTAATTGAAAGGCTAGATGATTGTTGAATATTAAATGACTTTCAAATGTTGATAAATGTTGAATGTTGAACAAACTGTGAATGTTAAATAAACATCGAATTTTAAACAAATGTTGAAGGTTGAAAAATATTGAATGTTAAACAAATGTTGATTGTTGAACAAATGTTGATTGTTAAACAATTTGAAGGACTTTGACCAGTTGGCAACGAAAAAGACAAACGAGTTGTTTGATGCAATGGATGGGATATTGTTTGATGGCAAGCATGATGGAAACCACGCCATCATCAGGGAGTGTCACGAATGGAGAAGTGCATTTCCTCATTTGAGGTTCCTTGAATGTCTTTTTTATTGTATTTTAAAATTTGATTAATGTTTGCTAGAAAAATTTCGGTTAATTTTGGCTAATTTTGTTTCAGTCAGTGCATGATTAAATTCGAACCATTAATCAAATTTGAAATTTTCTAAAAATGGGGTTTTTGGTTTTTTTAAACTCTTTGTTGAATTTTTTTAATAACTTTGCCATTCTTCGCTTCGATGCACTTAAGCTGCGGCTGAAATTTGCGGGTGATTTGACGTTTTTGCTGAGCCTTATCCAACTCGTCGCAAAACAATTTAGTTTGGCTTGTTTATCTGCTATTACTTTTCTCTGCACTTCTGCATTCATTTTTTTATCATACTTGATCTCCATGTTTTGCCTCTCGTTACTTTTCAATTAGTTTCCATTTATCATCCATAATTCAGGCTTTTTTCTTTATATCAGCAAAGCTAAAAGTTTTAATAGCTTTTTCTGACAAAACTGACTTTGGACAATGATTTTGATGTTAATTCCTCTTGTGCATTATTCAACATCTCAAATCGGTTGGCCACAGACACAGCGTATTATTCATTTTATCTATTGAATTAAACCAGCTCCGATGCAAAATTTTTTCACTCTTGGAACCGAAACCGAAAACCGGAACGAAAAAAGTAACGGTTTGAAGCTCTGCTAAATACTTCTGGCACGTTTGTTGCATATTCGTGGCTTATTTGTCATATGTATTTGTTTCTTTGATGCTGATATGTTTCATAATTGACTTTATTTCTGCTATTTTATTGGCTGTATTTCATTACATGATTGCTTGTTCATAATTTGGTTGTCCGAATTTACCTTAACCTCAATATAAATTATACATAAATTTTTTAAACAGGGTGACTGGTGCAAAGTTGTTGGAGCAACAGGAACATGGTTACCAAAGGTATTCACCCTCAACAAAATTAATGAACAACGAATTAACATACAGACATCTGCAGGGGTATGTTGGGCTTTTCATAGTTCATGCATAGTCAATTGGTCATAGGTGCGTAATATCAGCTTTTTTGTGGCAACATTTGTGCTTGTTCTCTGAAGTCTGCTATTTTTGTTACCATGCCTTTATTATTGCCACTGCCACAATCAGTTTTTTTGGTTTTTTATTAAATTTCAATAAAAGAATTTTATTGATTACAAAAAAATTAAATTCACATTCTATAAATTTTTTATTAGTTTTTTTTGAGATTTAGATACGATCTTTTAGGTAGTACACGGTTGTATGTGCCACATTTCTGAATTTCTACGTCTATGATTTCATGTCCTAAATATTTTAAATTCAATTTTTTCAAGTTTCAGCTATTAATGTTTTATTTTCAAATCAACCCAAGTTATTTAAATAAACATTCAAGTTTTTTTTTTATTGTTTTCAAGTGTATTTTTGTGTCGTAATTTTTTAACTGAAAAAATGTTATTTGAAATTGAACAGTAAAGAGACATTTCCATTGACAGATTTTTTTAACAGCATGAGGTGAGTTTTCAATCATTATTTTTTAAAATTCGTTTCAAATTACATTAAAGTTTTCAACATTATTTATTTAAAGTGTGCATCGTTAGTAACATAATCATCATTTACTGGCACACTGTAAAGTAAAGCTGCACCGAATTTTACTTTTTCAATACCGGTAGAGCCGGTTTTAGCTGAATTTACAAAAAAATCCGGCCGAAGCGGAAGCCGGATTTGTGCATCGGTTACATTTTTATGCTAAAACTTGTCAGTATGACTTCATTAGCTTCCTTGCAAACATTAGCTTGTTCTTTATTTTGCAGTTCTAATGTACACACGTATTTCATACGCACGTGCAAGCCCGCATCATTCGCTTAGCGCATAATATCCTTTGAGCTTCAGATCGACAGCGTGTGACATGGCACTTCTACTGACTGAGCTCTCACATAAAACGTTATTATACTACATCCCTATAAATAATCTAATAAATTAGCTTAAATTTAATGCGATTTGAATTAACAACTCTTTACCGATTTCTGTCAATACTATTATTTTCAAACGCACACTTTGAACCAGGCGAACATTTCTGATACACGCCTGCACCCCACATTTTTAATAATTTTGAAAAACGAATTTCTCAATCATTAGTGCTTTGTGTTAACATTTTGTAATTTCAAAGTGATTAAGATATAGACAAGATAGTCACATCAGTTAGAATATTCTTGTCGTTCCAAATCATTTTGCATATACAACATTGGTCAAAAAGCAATCACATACATGTCCACATGTAAACAAATAAATGTACGATTTGTAAACGCGTAAATAAATGCATAGATACAAATATAAACCCTAAAAACAAAAATGCGACTTAAATTCGAAATTTGGCCTAATTTTGACTGGAATCGGTTTGAAGCCGAATTTGGAAATATGACCATTACAGCCCTACTCTGAAGACACATGACCAAACTCACATTATCACGGTGATCATAAGAGTGCTGCTGGGGTTACATATCTACAATCTTATCTACATTTTCTTCTTTACTACTCATTTTTTCAACTTGCTTAAACCAATCATTGTAAATATCACCTCGTAATTTTAATTTTTATTCATTCATCATTGTTCAGTCTTGAGGTGAAAGGAGAAAAAGCTTCAAAAATTTTAAAATCAGTTGGCAGTGGTGAGGAAGATGAAGCTGATGAATATGGGTCTTCAATAAATGGTGCTAATTATGATGGCGATGATGAGGTCATCGAACTTCAAGGTCATTATGAAGAAGTCCTCGCTATTGACTACTAGTTAGATTGCTTCCAATATGTTGTTTGTGCTTTTGCAATGGGCTGCATAATTTATTCGCTCTTCGGCTAATGTATTTATATTTTAAGAATGTTATGGTGTCGATAACGATTATTTGTAACAGATGTTTTGTGTGTGTGTTTGTAAGTGTGCTTTTGAACATGCTTATATGTTAACTCATTAATCTTCGTTATTCAGTGATTCAACATTTTTCTTTCTTTAAAATAAATAAAGTGTGATTATTTTTTCTGCCATGGATGTCAGCGTTAATTTTAAAGTACGATGAAAGGTTTTTTATTTTTTTGAACTAATAAAACATTTTTTCGTTAAAAATGAAGTGAAAATAAGTTTTTTTTTTAATATTTTTGTTAATGAAACATTTCCCAATGCAAACTCATAACATGGCTTTCTTCATTGGTTTATCGTCTTTACGTTTATCGTATTATCGCTCGTAAAACTCGTAAAACCGAACATTTAACTTAACTTGATTTAAATTAATTATTTATTTGTTTCTTTTGTGGTAAATATATCTCGTTAATTGATTGCAAGTGATGGAAAGAAAGAAAAAGCCGAAAGACACAGTTTCAGAACTGAAGTGTACAGACAATGATAACTTGGGATTAAAGTTATGTGAAGAATGCATGAAATGTAATAGGGAAAAGCTACAAATTTTGGTTGAAACAGAAAAGGCTGCCAGTTTGGATTTTGGACCATCATTGGAAGTTTATAAAAGTGAAATGCGAGACATTACACATTCCATGATGTCAAAAATGGAGATTCTTGAAAAAGCCATATATGCACAAAATGAAGAATGGTCAGGTTTAAGAAAAAGAATGGAAAATATATCTATAACTTCTTTAAAACAGATGGAAGATAATGAGAAAATAACTAAAAAAACAGTTGAAAAAAGTGAACAAGTGTTAATGAAATATTCAGAAGCTGTAAAAGGGAAGGTTGACACTCTTGCGACTGATGTTAAAAAGATGCAAAAATCCATTTTAGATACAACTACCAAAATAGATTTTAATAATGATAGGGAAAAAAGAAAAAATAACATAATATTATATAATTTAGATGAGAAGGAAAATAACCCCAGGGTATGTGTTGGCAAACTGTTGAAAGAGATTGCTGATATTGATTCTGAGTCAGAAGTGGTTGATATATCCAGGTTGGGTAGAAAATCAGAGGAGGCCAAACCAAGACCAGTTTTAGTACAACTAGCAAGTTTAACTACCAAGAATTTGTTGCTTGCAAACTGTTTTAAACTGAGAAACTCAGCATGTTTTAGTAAAGTTATAATAAATCATGATCTATCTAAGGAAGACAGAATCAGTAATAAAAAAATTCTTGAAGAGAAAAAAAGTGAAATTGCTGCTAAAGAAGATATCACAAAGTGGATTTTCAGGTTAAAAGGCAAACCAGGAGACTTTCATGTGATTGCTTACAGAAGGCAAAATTTAGCATCATAGATAATTTAAGCTGTAACAACAACAATAATTTAAGTATAATTATGTCCAATGTTGATTCTTTCACTAACAAGTTTGAGGATTTAAAAATATTTTTGCAGAGCTTGGAGATTTCACCAGATTTGATAGTTTTGAATGAAGTAAATCCAAAAAACTTTAGAAATTGTAGAGTTTTATCTGAAATAAATATGAATGGTTACTCCATCATTTCCTCAGGTTTTGCTGAAGTCAACAAAAGAGGTTTGGTGTTGTACTATAAAAATTCAATAGTTGTTTCTGAGGTTGCCATGAAATCAGATTTCAAAGAACATATTTCTGTTAAACTTGTGATGTCCAAAAGTATTTTAAATATTGTTTTTATTTACAGAAGTCCAAAGTCTGATGAAAAAAACAATAAAAATTTGTTATCTTTGTTAATTGAGGGTCTTTCATTAAATGGTGATTTTCTAATGCTGGGTGATTTTAATTTTCCTGAAATTGATTGGGAGACATTTAGTTGCAGAGGAAGTGATGAAAAAATTGAAAATGAATTTTTGAGTATTCTGAAAGATAAGTTCTTAATTCAACATATTAACTTTCCAACAAGATTCAGAGATGGACAGGCAGCAAACATCCTTGATCTGGTAATATCAGCTAAAGAGTTGGTCCGCAACATTATGCATCATCCACCTTTGGGTAATAGTGACCATTCTATTGTGGAATTCAAAGTAATAGGTTTCAGATGCCCACCTGAGAAATACAAGAAAAAGTATTGTTATGATTCAGGAAATTATGAAAGTTTCAGAGAGCTTCTGTCACAAGAACTTGATAATCGAACAGGTCAGAATGAGGATACTGAAGAGTTCTGGAAATTTTTCAGAGCTAAATTGACTACATATACTCAACTGTTTGTTCCTGTTAGAAGTAATAACAACAATTATAAATTTAAAATGAGCAATGAGCTAAAAAATTTAATCAGGGAAAAGCGATTGATTTGGAGATCCATTTATAGATATGGCGATAACAGATTGGAAGTTTACCGTAAAATTAGAGAAAAAATAAAAAAAATAACCAGTGAATTGAAAAAACAATCTCAGGATAGAATTGCCAGTAATTATAAAAATAATCCGAAGTTATTTTGGAACTATGTAAAGAAAGTCACCAGACATGTTGAATCGATGAGTCCACTATCGGTGGGTGGTAGAATTGTTACAAATGCTGAAGAAAAAGCAGAAGCATTTGCAGATTTTTTTTCCTCGGTCTATGAAAAGGAGATAAACTTTTTAGACCAAAATTTTCCAGTAATTGATGGTACAAAAATGGAAGACTTGAAGATAAATAAAGAAATGGTAGCAGACAAATTGAAGGGTCCAGATTTGATTCATCCAAGAATTCTGTGGGAAATGCGTGATGTGGTTACCACTCACTTGAGTCGTATTTTTCAATGTTCATTGGATGAGGGTATCGTTTTTGGTGATTGGAGGCAGAGTCATGTGATCCCGTTGCACAAGAAAGGTAGAAAAGATCTTGCTCAGAATTACCGTCCAATAGCATTGACGTCAATTTGTTGTAAGGTCCTGGAGGGGCTGATAAAGGACCATATTATGAAATACTTTATGGAAAATAATCTTTTTTCGAAGAGTCAGTATGGTTTCATTCCTGGACGCTCCGCGGTTTTGCAGCTGTTGAAATTTTTAGAGGCGGTGGTTGATGGAACAGATCATGGTTACGAAGTCAATGTAATCTACATGGATCTGGAAAAGGCGTTCGACAAAGTTTCACATAAACGTCTGTTGTTTAAGCTTGGGCGGTATGGGGTGAATGGTAAGATAGTAAAATGGATTGAGAATTATCTCAACAACAGAACATTTCAGGTGAAATTAGAGGATACATTATCTAAGTCAAGACCAGTCCTGAGTGGAGTTCCCCAGGGTGGGGTTTTGAGCCCTCTACTGTTTATTATCTATATCAATGATATTTTTTCAGTATGTGATAATATCTTGCTTTTTGCTGACGACTCAAAAATCTTCAGAGTGTTGAAAACAGAGGAAGACAAAAATAGTTTTTTGCAAGATATTAGAAAATTACTAACCTGGTTTGAGGAATGGAAATTGAAAATAAATACTGATAAATGCCAGTTACTAAGAATCGGTTCCCGCCAGCCGTGTACTTCATACACCATTGTGGATGATGATAATTCGCGGTTCAATCTTCCTGAAGTTGATGAGCTATCAGATCTTGGAATAGTTGTGGATAATAAAATGAGGTTCAGAAGCCATGTATTGAAAATAGTGCACAAAGCAAATTCAATGTTGGGTATTATTGCCAGAAACTTTAAGGGCCTTTCAAACGAAGCTTTTCTATTGTTGTTCAAATCGTTGGTGAGATCGCATTTGGAATATGGAGTTCAAGTGTGGAATCCTTATAAAGTTGGACTAATAGACGAGGTGGAAAAGGTACAAAGAAGAGCAACTCGTTTGATAAAGTCTTGTAGAAATCTTTCATACGATGATCGACTGAGGAAACTGGGTTTGCCGTCTCTTGCCTTCAGACGACGAAGAGCCAATCTTATATTAGTTTATAGGATAATACACGAGGGTGTTTCGGCTGATATTGGACCTACTTTGTTTTTTTCTGGCGATGAGCGTACAAGAGGACATAACCTCAAGTTAACAGCCTCAATTTCTCATAAAGACTGTCATAAATTCTACTTCTCAAATAGAGTGGTGGAAGATTGGAATATGCTGCCCTCGGTTGCTGTTAATGCGGATTCTCTGTCTGTTTTTAAATCGACAATTGATGATTTTTTTGGTGATATAAAGTTTAATTGGCGAGCAAACTTTTAATTTATTGCAATTGTTTAATTCTAATTGATGTCTGTAGAAAATTTCTTTAATATTTTTATTTACAGTCATTTTTCGGTTGATAATTCGAATCGAATGATGGTTTAATTATGTTTTACTTAATTTTATTCCTTTAACCTTCGGACAATCATTTATTTTGCTTAGTTTTTTGAGTTTTGTTTTGTGATGGCAAGGGGCTTGCCCGTGCTATGAAATAATAATAACAGAACATCAAACTTACAATGTCTCAACTAACTTTTAAAACTTTGCGGTGCATTAACTAACAACGTTTTTATAAAAAATTGAAAGTAGTTCTGAAGAGAGGAAGCGTGGGCCGAGGCACAACAATTCTGGTGTTCCCCCGGTCACCCCTGTCAACTGCTGGAGAGATCAGCTGCTATCTAATTTGTGTCTCAACATCTTCCAAACTTTCAGTCCCGTGCTTACTACCTTGCTGTCCAAACTTGTCGAACAACATTCAAAAGGTTTGGTTTTGTTGGTCTATCAGCTGTTCTTGGTGTGTTTTTCATTACTTTAATAACTTTTACAATTATGTGTCAAGTATTTGGATAATGAATTTGTTTTAATCTATTAAAATATTTATTCCAGTTTTCACCTCTGAAAAAGCTGCAACGAAAACTTCACATGACTTAGCTGATCGCAAAACCACACATCATCTTCCCTTCAATCCGATCACGCCCAAAAATAATCCTAGTCATGATTTTAAAAACTTATACGAGCACGAACTGGTGCTTGTTGATGATCTGGAAACTGACAGACAGCAATGTGATGTGGCCTCACAAAGATCTTCCAGTCAGAGGAACATATTGCAGAATGGACTGCATAATGTTATGTCTTCTCCTGAAAAAGTTAGATTATAAAAATTCATCATAATGTCTGCATTTCAATAATTAGATCGTAATATAACGTTACAATACCTACATTGAGTTATGTTTGTATCTCCTAAGCTTAGAAGACGCAAATTCAGTCTGGATAGACTAGAAAGTTGCATATATTTATTAGACGTTTTCAAAAGTTTTATTCCTTTTTGTTTCATTTATCTTCGGAACCATCTGGTCCTTTGTCCTATTCATGCACAGTGACGTAAAAATGATCTGAATACTTTTGTTCCCGTGATAAATATGAATAAACGCGAATAAATAAAAAGCAAAAAATCCTGCGTTGTTCAGGTGGGGAGTAATTGATTGCATTCAAAGTTTTAGAGACCGAGCATTCCCTCTGCATTGTACAACAGCGATCACCTATATTGATGAGTGGCAATGTTGTTTTGTTGTCATTGTGAGAAATTTTTACATTCATGCGTTCTACTTACAATAATGTGTGAGGTGTGAGTTTAGAATTGAATTATGTGAAGTTGTCATCGTTCTTTTTTTTTATTAGATTTGAATAATTATATACATGGTGTGTAAAAGTTATCTAAAATTACAAAAATGCAGAAAAATGCTTTCCAGAAAGTTTAGATTTGATCTAACTATTTTTGTGATACATTAAGATCATGCAATTGTGAACAAAAATGTTTCTTTATCAAACAATCTTGGAATTTTCATTGACATTCTATACAAATACAACATTAAAACCTTTTTTAATTTGTAAAAGCAAGATTAATGAAAAATTATGAATAGAAAACAGCACAAAACTATAAAACAATCAGAGCAGCTTGTTGTCTACAGTGTTTCCATATGTTGATGATATCAATCTCGATGGAGTTCTTACTGTCAGACCACTCTTCACTGATAGGTTAGTGATATTTGTTTGTTTGTTATTTGTCATGCTTTGTCGTTTGTGTTGTGTTGTTTGTGTTTATGTCGTTGTGTGGTTCGGGATGTTGTGTCTATTGTGCCGCTCTGATCTGGATGTTGTGTCCTTTTTGAACGTTTGTCGTTCCACAAAAAGTGAATGCTTATTCATATAAGAATGTAGACGCATTTATTATTTTAATTTTTATTTCATGTTATTTGCTTGTGCATGATTATTTAATTTGGTTGGTTCATCGTGAATACTCAGCAGAGAAGCAGAAACCACAAGCGTGTTGAGTTCCAAACGCAGCCATAGCAGCCACAAACAACAGGCAGATGTTGGCCTGCATGACCTCATATACGACACCAGCACAACAAACAAGCATCACCAGATATCACCTCGACAAATACATTCATTATCATTCAAACCTCAGTTGTCCAACGACACATCTAAACAGCAACAATCGTTTCATCAACATCAACAACCGCATCAACAACAACATCAACAACAACATCACCATCATGCAATCTCCCATCTGCTTAGTGTTCCCGAGGTTCGATGTGAAGTTTTTGCATCTGTTATGTATGATTATCATGTTATTGTTGTTGTTGTTGTTGTCGTCGTTGTTTGTCGTTGTTGTTGTGATAAAACTGTCTTATGCCTTTTTCTTTATATAATGTTCCTTTTTTTAACTTTTAAAGAATAGAGTGTAGAATCAAAAAGACCATAGTAAAGCAAGTTACAATAATCAATCCTAGATAAGACTAACAAAGTAACAAGAAGGAGAAGAGTAGGATCATCAAGAAAAGGCAAAAGTTTTTTTGTTCTACGTAGATGAAAGTAAGAACTTCTGGCAACACTATTAATCTGAGAAGAAGAAACATGCTATAATCAAAGATAAAGCCTAGACTACGAAACTTGCGAGAAACATAAAGAGTTTTAGAATCAGGTAAGATAATAGAAGGAATAGTAATAGAGTGTTTAGACAAACAAAAACAAATTAATTCAAATTTTGAAGGATTAAGTTTAAGACAAATAGAGTCAGACTAAGCGATAATTGAAGAAAGACATAGAGATAGAATATGTAGAACACTATTGAGAAAATATAAATAAGTATAAATATCAGAATCATCAGCATATAGTTGACTAGAGAAAGAAAAATTATTAATAATACGAGATAGTTCAGATGTATAGTGTATAAATAGAAGAGGGCCAAGGATAGAACCCTGAGGTGCCCCAAAAGTAAGAGTAGAGGAGTTAGAAGTAGAATTATTAAGGACAACAGAAAAAAACGATTACAGAGATAAGAAGAAAACCAAGATAGACAAGAACCATTAATATTAAAAGAAAGATCTAGCAGCCTCAAGAGAATAGTATGATCGATCAACAGTATCAAAAACAGAGGAAAAGTCAAAAGCAAGAAGAAGGGTAAAATTACCATTGTCGGATGGAGAGATGGATATCATTATGTATTTTGAGTAAAGAAGTTTAAGTACTGTGAGCAGGTCTGAAATCAAATTGAAATACAGGTAGCAAGGAGTTAGAGTTTAAATATAATGATAATTGTTTATAAATTACTTTTTCTATTGTTTTAGAGATGATAGTAATATTAGTAACAAGTCTATAATTAGATAAAGAGCAAGGATCTAAAGATGAGTTTTTAAAAATAGGAATAACAATAGAATTTTTATAAGAAGTAGGAAATTTAGAGGTGCAAAGAGATAAATTAACTAACTCAAGAATGATAGGATAATGATAGGATAATGGATAAATTGTTGAAGAAAATTCTTCAAGTAAACTAGAAGGAAGTAGATCGAGAGAACAAGTTTTAGATAACATAGAATTAATAATTGTAGTAAGTTCTAGATTTATAGGAGTAAATACGGAAAAGAATTAGTAGTAAGTTTATTAAAGTTATGAGGAGTAGAATGAAAATTAAATGTTCTTAAAGAATTAATTCTATTTACAAAAGTCATGATACTGTTGAGCAGATAAAGATGAGTGAGAGGATTTTTTATGATGAAGTTTAGACAGAATAGACCACATATTTTTAGATGTTGAAGCAGATTTTTTAGAATTTTTAAGAAAAATAGAGTGTTTAAAGAATAGTAGATATTTATAATTAATTAATTCAGATTCATAGGTAGAGTAAAAAGAGTTGGTACACAAAAACACACGTTGGTACAAACAAATTAGTTGCATTGTTTAGGTACGCTCAAATTTTTCATCATAAAATGTAAGTCTACAAAAATTAATTTCTATTACTGAAAAATATGACAAAAAATGTTCAGTCCAAATTTTTTCAACTTGATTTATGTACTTTTTTTTAAGTATTATTAATGTCAATAAGTTAGGAAGATCAATCGTTGTTCAGAAATTGTTAACTGCTCCAACAAATGAACTTCATTGATGGTTATACATTGAGCATGTTTTATTTAAATCTTACATCTGTTTGATGGATGAAATCACTGATTCACGATAATAAATCATGTGCATTATGTTGAACTGCGTCGTCTCTGCATTTCTATGTAACAACACGTGCAACTTTCACACTGCCCCTCCAAAACAGTAAATGCGTAAATTAACCAGTTCTACTGCAATTATTAGAAATATTTTATTAAAACAGATTATCGCTAATACAGTATTAATTTTTAAACCAGTTCTTAGTGTTTTTTAAAATTTGTTTATTGGATTAAGACTGTCAGAAAAGCAATTATTGATAAAAATCACAACATGTTCAGCGTTAGTTAACAACCAATTTAACTTTTCAGTTTTTCTAACGGTTGATCGTAAATCTTTTTCAAGTTTCTTTAGTTCAAAACCAAAATTTGAACTAACGCCGAACATATTGTGATTTCTACCATTAGAAAAATCGAAAAGTTAAATTGGAAGTTAACTAACTAACTAATTTTCATCAATAATTGCTTATAGATATTGGATAGATATCGATATAGATATTGTAAAAAAATGCATTTATAGTAATAACAATTGATTATTGCATAATAATTTTACATTTCATATTTTTACGTTTTTCTCATTCTTTTAAACTTAACTTTAAATTTAAGGAGCCGCGATCTGGGAACCAGCCTGCCCCGACGTCCACCTCCAACGCCCTCCACAGACCCTCCAACAACCCAGCAGGCCAACACCCGCATAAGAATGTACTACCTCACCTTCGCAATAAGCCACACACTGCAGTTCCTAGCAACAACACTCACCACAGCCAACAACGATCTTACAGCAAACTCGTTGGACAGGTTTGCTTGCGTTGTACTTCTTTCTCATTTTGTTATGCGTTGAGTTTCTTATTTTGCTGTTGGATACTCGTTGCTGCTGTTCTGTTGTCTTACCGCTGACGCTTGTTTTTGCACAGGTTGATTTAAATTTTGCAGGCTTACATTAAACAGCAAGAGATTTTTATAAAGTCATTTTATCTCTTGCTGAATACATTAAATTACGAAAAAATTAAATTGCATTTACTCTTTATTGTCGGAGCAGATCAATAAACACAGGCAACTCCATTAACGTCACATCGTGATAAATGATTTTGTGAGACATTCGTGTGTTTATGTTCGTGTTGTTGTTGTTCATTGTTGCTAACAACTGACGCTTGTCCATTGGTATCTTTATGGCTCGTTGACTGAATTCGTTTCATTTAGACTCTGTTGTTTCAGCCATCTAAAAATAGTTCTGCAAATATGCTGGTAGTAATATTTAACATAATTTTTAAATAATTTTAAAAGTTATAAATATTTCTGCCGATGTATTCAATAATAAGTTGCACTAATGTGGAGATGTGTTGTCAGCATAGTAGAATGGTGTGCTAGTGTCCAATGTTTCCGGTTCAGCTCCGGTTAGGCCAGCATTTTTACAAACGTAATAAGAAATTTTGATGGGCTTATAATTAAATTTCGATCTCCAACATAAAGTTATTAAATTGTTTACAACTTCGAAGATGCTGAAATTCAATCAAATTCCAATTGAGTTTTTTTGTTATTATTTGAAATAAAAGCAATTTTAAGAATTTCAATTACTTTTAAATATCATTTGATTCATTTTACTTGTTTATTGATTTTAAATATTTAGTTTTTTCGTTAGTTTCCAATTTTGTTTTTGTGCAATTTGCAAAACATTCAGGCACCAAACTTTACAATCCACTTTGAATCATCATCATTATTATCCTCTATATCACCACCAATGCCATCATTATTATCAATATTATTATAATCAGGTTTTGATAAAATTTCATATTAAGGCAACGGCAAAAAATGCTTTGTTGGAAAATAAAAAAGGGAAGCCTGGAGATAATCTTCATAAAAAATGTGTCACTTTTGAAATAAATGCAAGCAATCTGTTCACGGTTCGAAAAACTGACAATAAAAGTGAAAAGTTTAAAGATAAACTCAATTGTTGTAAGCGTAAAAAAGATGTTAGCTCTATTTCGAAAGCTGTGTCCACAATCGAATCACCAGAGAACAACTTGCACGAAATCTTAGGCACATCAGCAAAAAGTACCACCTTTGCGTCCCCATTGAGTTCTCCATCAACGTCAATCTTACCGCCAGCTCTACATATTGAGGCATTGTCTGATGATCAAATAGTTCCTCTTATTAACAGAATTCTCAAGGTTGGCTTGATCGACCAGCAGCCACGTAATGATCATGCACAATTTGGTTTTGATGACAGTTCACTCTGCAATACTAACATTGTTGATAATAATGGTTGTATTACCAACGAAAGTTGTCAGTTTATTGGTTTTAAGAAAGAAATCAATAAAAATAACGTTAAAACACACAAACAGGTTGTTAAATCAAGTGATTTTATCAAAAAATTCTCTAACAAAAATTGTTATCAAATGAATAGTTTAATATTAGATAATAATAATAGCTGTGCTTTCAATAAACGCCACAAAAATAATAACTCTGATGAGCAAACTTTCAATTGTGATGTTCCTAATATGTATTGTTTCAATCACAAAACTCGAAAACTTTATCATCCTGTTAAACAAATGGATACCAACGTAATTCCAGCAAGTGCAGTTGCCAGCCGTGATAAACTCAACGTTTGCAAGAAAAATATGAAGTTTTTGTGTGAAACCACAATAAATAATACTCTTGACAATAAACACGCCAATTTAACAAATAATAACAATGACCTGCATCGAGATCCATTTAAATCAAGCAACACAACGGACACAATTGATAACATTAACATAAGTCTGCATCATCTTACTTGCGAAAGCATTGATGTAAGCAAGGGTCTCAGATTGATGTGTAACCATTTGAACGAGGTTTGCAGCTGTATTGAAAATTTTTGTCATGAATTACAAATATTATATGATCATGGACATTAACTGCACTAAAATATGTCCATAACCTTGTGACATTCACGACATCTGATCCGAAGCTGAAGATGAATCTGTATAGGTATCTAATTTTCCATGAGTAAAAATTATATCAAAGAACACGGTGTCTGGATTTTTTAAAGTTGATGTAAATTTTGTGATGGTTTGAACATAGTAAAGCTGCATGGCATTCAATAAATTTCATAACTTTTGCGGTTATACAAGGCTAATAAAGAAGACGCCAAAAACTCTTATGCCTATCAAATAACAACATAGGTGGGTTAAATATGAGATAACACAAATTTCAACATTTTAAGAAATGAAAGAGATGAAGCAACACAAATTTAAACATTTTCAAAAATGAAAGAGATGAAGTCTCAAATGTTTGTTTATATAACACATTTTTGTGAAACGAGCCTAAACAGTTAGGATTGTCATGGTTTATCTAAACGGACTGGATTTCAATTGATGGTGAGGCAAAGTTCAATGAATTTGCATGTTTCATTAGCATGGACGTTCTCAAGTTTTTTCTCTTTATCATACAAGTCCTTGTTACCTTCTAACTCCGTATTTCATTTCGGTTGTTGATACGCTTTTTGCATGTTAGAATATCTTATGTTAAGTCGAAATGACTTAATTTAATAATTTTTGAAATGTTTGTTGATGTGTGGTCGTCGTTTCAAAAGTTATATAATAATATTTTTAAAATTAAATTATTAATTTTCGTAAGAATGTAGGCGTAGAATGTTGAATGAAGAGTTACCATAATCGTTACAAGAATGTGAGCTTTGGGGTTGAGGAAAACAAAAGTTAATGAATAAACTTCATTCATGTCGTGCAATTAATAATTGAAATAGGTATATCAACCAAAAAGTATAAACAAAAATAGTAAAACAAAAATATAGGACAAATAGTTTTTCAATGAAATAGAGTTTTATCTTTTGGTTACCATTCTGATAGTTTAAACGAAGGAGCCGATGGACCAGTTTTGTAGAAAATTTTTTTTAAAACGTTTATGTAAGAATAAAGGAGTAAAATACAGTTGCTTATTCTCGAGAGTTAAAGTTTTAAGGTTACAAGCAACATATATGAGTTGTTATTATTAGCTTGGTTGTAAGGTACCTTTTATTGCTTTCAAAGATACTAACTACGCTCAAATTGATTAAGTTCTCGAGGATCCATTTTATTTAAACCAAATTATGACGCTGAATAAGTTTGCCTGAAGAGTAGGATTTTAATTTTTTTGAAATTCTGTTATTGATAACCCCCTATTTAAAAAGTGAAATGGAAACTGTTCCTTATTTTAAATCCTATTATAAAGTTTGGTTTGTGGTAGGAATGACAATGTGAGAATCCAATTAATTGTAGATCCATCTGGTGTGAAGCCACTCTGCTTCCTTTTGCGTCGGAACAATTACGGACGGTGAAGGCAATTGAGCAGAAAACAAACTAACACTTTTCCTGGGACTGACAAAAGTGTGACACATCCGCCTCAGCAATTTTTGCATTGATGGCGTCCTACCTTTGTGGCTTTTACTTTGAAAATAATACTGTCCTTTCTTCAGCCTTCGGGAATCATACCAAACTGTCACACAAGAGTGCCACACAATGTAGCCATCCAGCACACATGGGACCGCCTGATTTTAACATTTTCGGATGGATACTACCACATGGTTTTTTTTTACAATTTTTCAAAGTCTTGATAGCAGTGGCCACTTTAAACACAGGAGGCGATTCAACACTAATTTCAGGACTTGCAGTAGCTAAGTTAACGAACTCCAACAATTCCAACGAAGGTGTCGGCAACGGGCGGTTGGGTAACAGGCTATAGTATTTTTGCCATCCTTCTAGATTTCCATTTTTTTGTCACTGATCAGCTGACCCGCATCACCAAGAGTTGGGTTGGAAATTGTATTATCTAGTTTTTTTATATATATAAAATAAATTTTTTTCATATTTCAGTCTAAACTTTGGCTTCAATTTTTGATTTTTAGTGAAAAATATATAGTGAAAAGTTTTTGTTTTTACATGTTTTTCAAAGTTGATCTGGAAGTTTACATGTTCCTCAGAACTTCACCGTTTCCCAGCCTTTGCTGAATAAAATTTTGTTCAATAAAAAAAGATTTTTGATAAAAGTTTAAAAGGAAAATTTTCTAACAGTTGCATGTGCATGATAGTGTGAGTGATTCAATGCTTTTTATGACCAACTGTTGTACAATTTGTTAGCTGTCAATGATTCATTTATAATTAATAATTAATGATTTGCTGACTCTGGTTTGAATGCTATCTGTGCGTGACCCATCCTTGTAGTACGGTGCTTGCACGTGCATACAAAATGTATATGTACTTCGTATGGTATCGATGTTACGGCCTTTGGGATTATTTGCTAAAGTGACGAACGATTTGCAAGTACCTTTACGTTTATCAAAGCTCCTTAATAAAGAAACTGAAAATTTCATGATTTAGGGCATATGAATATAAGATATTGTAAAATGCGACAAGAATTACATAACATTTATTTAAACTTGGTCTGTATATTACCATATATTTATCTTTTATTCAATTTACCTGCATACTCTAATTTATATTGCACTGTACATAATGTAATACATTTTAAAAGAAGCATCATAAAAATACTTTTCAAGCAATCGTTTTTCAAATCTTGTTGTTTTAGTTGTGTTTTTTTTGATGCAACAAATAAAAAAGCAAACGGTTAAATTTTAGATTACATTAACTATTTTACTCTCCTCATTCACCAAACCTTTGCTGGCAGCCATCTTTATTTAATCCTGTTTTCAATTGACTCAATAAAATATGTTAATTTAATAAGTTAATTTTAACAGCTTTATTTTATTTTTTCCACTTATAATAAAATATTATTACGATTTTGTTCTGCATGTTCGAACACATTTATTGAATTAACATGAAATAATGGTATAAGTACATCTATAGCAAAAATTATGATTGTTAAAATTCGTTGAATTGAAAGTTACCTAGACGAAAGGGATCAAGCAGAGCATCTAGTGCCTTGCATTCTTCATTCCAGCAAGGACCATTTGATCACTATGGCATCCACAAAGTGCACAATTATGCCAGCAATAACAAGTTGAAGGAACGGTCAACGACTGATAGAGTTAATAGTAGCAGACCTAGCTCTACTCACAATTTCCATAAAAAGGTTTGTTTTATTGTTTTTTTTTAATTTTTTTTGCAAATCTATGGCGTTTCAGCGCAATGAAAAGGCCTTCTTTACGCCATCTTTAAATTTGAAGGAACTTTGATTTTTTTTTCATGAACCATTTTAAAGATTGTCATGCGTTTCCTTTTTGAGTGAAAGTGTATTCCGTCTTCAGCTGAAACAAATAGTTGTAATAGAAATTATTTTATCTAAAATTTTTCAAATCAATAAAATAACATACAAAATTATTTGAAAATTATTAAAAAGTGTGAAAAATTATACAAAAAAATTTAAAGTTTAAAATTTATAAATCATCAGTCGCAAGCGTCTGCCTCCGCTTCAAACGTGATAACCAAAATTTTACAATTTATTTATTTACATTTTCAATGTTTGACAAAATTGATTTACGGAATAATATAATTATTTAATCGTTACGTTGTAACTATTGCCAAACATTCAATTGATGAGAAATGAAAAATGTAAATTTTATAAAAAAAAAATTCATATATTGAAAACTAAAAAAATGAATCATAAATTGATTCCGTTATGCATTTAAATCAATTAAACAACTTTAATAAATGATTAAAAAAATGCGTTTATGAATGCAATTGAAAAATTAATTTCTAAAATGAAAGATTTTAACTCACATATTGAGGCGTAAACAATAAAATTCTGTTAACCCTTCGATGGGCGTGAAATTTTGTCAACAGGTAAGGGCATGGGGTCGATTTTGAAATAACAATCTTTTTCAATTTATTCATTAAAAATATTATTTTTTAAAACTCAAATCAGTCTTTTCATATAATCGGGATATTACTAACGTTTTAACCTATAAGTTTATTATCAAATTCGTATTGACAATTAGTGGCTAGAAAATTAGTGCCAAAAATTTTGCAGTGTTTTGGACAAACGTTTCTTTGGTGGTTGCAATGCAGCAATGAATTTTGCCATCTGTATACCTTTGTGACAGACTCCACCAAACACCTGGGCACGTTGAACCAATGTTTAATAACTTTTGTTGCCATAGGATTTTATTTTTTAAGTTAAATATCAAATCAAATCATTTTTATTTAATCAGACAAAAGACAAAACAAAAAGTGTGATTCAGTGATAAAAAAAAAGAAAATTAATTTTAGTTAGGCTTGGCCACCGTGTAACTTAAAACAACTTTTCAATGTTCTGATAAATATAAGGAGAATAAATTAGAATAAAATAAAATTGTTAATAGAAGAAAAACGTGCCAATGTTAATGAAATTAAATTTTATGAAATTATTATCCTTTGAAGACGGAATCGTTGTTTTATTCGGAGATCGAATTTATTATTCTGTCGTCATTCATTGCTGGTATTTTGAGGTAAATCTATGTCCGGCACCGTGGTTGGTTTGTTAAAAATCCATTCGTTAAATAATGCTCGATGGTCAAATGTTTGGATCTCTAATTTTATTTAGGTCGTTCTTTTCAACGCAAATTCTGAATGACGATTTGTTGTTCTCATCTAATTTTTCACTTCGTTCTGATCTTTCTCGAAAACTGGGTCGCATGACAGTACATTAATATTGTTAGATTTTACTTTTTCAATTACCTCATCTTTTGCACATTCAGCAACAATGCCGAGGTAAAGGTAAATTTTGTTAGCTTTTAATGTAATGTGTTCAGATTTTTTCCCAACTATTTTATGATGTAATTTTTCGGTATTAGGTGGCCCTCAGTCTGTTCGGTGATATTGCTATTATTTAAACGCGATCTTTTTTGTTTCTACTAATTAGTGTAAATGGTAGTTCAGTATTCTCAACAGATGAGTTTACGGTTTTAAACCAGAGGTTTGCTGGCTGTGTTTTACGATTTTTTTTTGCGAACATTCGCAGCATTCGAGAGCGTACGATCGGGAACTGTAGTTGCTAGTGTACAAGTTTTGCTTAGTTTCATGTAAGGGTTTTTTCTCGGTCCAACACAAAAACTTGCAATTTTTGAACAGAAACATGTTTTATTTTTTAATAAAATCAAGTAACCAAATAAATAAATAGTTATGGTCCACGTATCAATTGTTCAGTATATAATATCAATTGTCCGGTAAATTTCCTTTTGGGCCGTCCTGTACTTCTGGCTGCAGTGCGTTGACTGCCCATCTTCTAACGCTGACACATTTGAATGTGTTGTTGAATGTACTGGCACCTTGCTGTCGTTAAGTGCTTCGCGTGTTGTTGAACATGTTGTTGAATGTACTGGCAGCTCACTGTTGCTGAACTGACGTGTAGGTTGTTGCGCATGTATTCACTTCACGGTTGCTGAAATGACGTGTAGTATATTGAACGTTTGGTCACTTCACGTTTGCTGAAATGACAGAGTTTGTTGCACGTTTTGTCACTTCACGGTTGCTGAAACGACGTTTAGTTTGTTGAACGTGTGGTCACTTCACAGCTGCTGAAATGATGACGTGCAGTTTGTTGAACGTGAGGTCACTTTACGGTACGGTTGCTGAAATGACGTAGAGTTTGCTGAACGTGCTGTCGTTATTATCACCGTATACCAGACTACCAACCACCAACGTGCCTGTTTCTACCAACTGTACCAAATACCAACTTCCAACTATTGAATACCGACTCTCTACGTAATTAACTCTTATTATTTTAACAGTTTCTTCTTTCGCACTCTCTCTCCTACCATCCAGGTTCGTGCTTATCTATCCACCTTCCGCATTGCTTCATTACCAAAAGGATTTAATATCATAGCGCTTCACCCCGACCCTCAACCCTGACATACCTCCTCCACAACAGTTGAATATTTCATGCAGTGGAATATTTACTCCCATTCTATTGGCATTTCTCATCAGCCAACCCTTTTTTCACCATAATCCTTGTATGTCTGCGATGTTTTTATTTCTAACCCGGTGTTTGATGTGTAAATCGTTCATCAATTTTGAGCTCTTTGGAGCAGTTTCTATTAAATAGGTCCGTGGGATATGATCCGTATAAACGTGGATCAAAGACAGACAAATCCAGCTTCAGAATTTTTGTACCGCCCCAAGTATGGCATATGCCTCCTTTTCAATGGTTGTCCATTTTAGTTGTACATCGAGTAACATTTTACTTGCGAAAGCAATTGGTCTTCATTTCGCCATGTCATCTTGTTGTACTAAGCAACAACCGATCGTATGATCACTAGCATCAGTAATCAGACCAAATGGACGTGTGTAGTCGATGATATATAAAATATAAACAATTGCTGTGTAACTTCGTCCAGTCTCCTTTGATGTTCCACCGTCCATCGGATCCGAACTACCTGTTCAGCTTTTGGTTAAATCGGTGATGCTGGAAAGCCTTTTGGCTAACTGTGGTATGAAACTCTGGAAGTAATTAAAGAATTTTAGAATTTTTCTTACTTCCCTCTTCGTTGTCGGCAGGCGAATATTGTCCAGCTTTTGTACTTTCGTTAGATCAATATTAATTTTTCCTGATCCAACTACAATGCCCAAAAAGGGTTTCTTCTTTTCCGCTAATCGACATTTTTTTATATCAAATGTTAAACCTAATTCGTCCACCGCGCCAAAAAACGTTTGTAGATGTTGTATGTGCTTGTCCCAAGTTTGAGAAAAAATTGCAACATCATCAATTTATGCTACAGTAAATTTTTTCACGTCCTTGGTCAATTCATTCACGCTTGAGTGAAAGTGATGCTTGTTGTGCGTGACATGAGACACGGCATGCGCTTGAATTCATATAATCCCTCGTCGTAAACAAATACTGTCAAAGATCTTGGCTGTTCCTCCATTTGAATCTACCAGTATACACTTCGAGCTCCTTCCCGCATGTCAGGGGCAGAATATCCATCACCCGCCGAATATTTATTGATGTATCTGTAGTCGATCGCCAGCCTTACACTCCATTATTTTTCAGGATACATGCAATTGGACTGTCCATTTCACTAATAGAAGGCACAATGATATCTTGTTCTAACATCATCTTGATCTGTTACTTCACCTCCTCTTTGAGCGGTTCTGGTACTTTGTATGCTCGCGTTCGCTTGGTTCTAAATTTCGAACATACCCTGATTTGATGCTAAACCTTCTGAAATTTGTTTACCACCTTCTTTCTCTGGATTCGTTGTTTCGTAGACAAATGTGATACACCTCCAATATACTCACTATTGCGTGTGCATTCTTATCAACCTTGAGTTCGTATAGCCGTAATTTACCAAATTCTTTATCACCATCCCGGAGTATGGCACAACTGCTAACATAGGCTTCCTCAATAAGGCTGTTGATTTTCTGCATACGATAAATGTGTACATGGTGCTTTTGTCCGTTGATTTTAACGACATAGGGATGAGGAGAGCTAACTTTCCTTACAGTCCCTGGTCATCGGTTATACCACTTATTTCTTAGCATGGCAGGTATCAGTATGATGACCAAATCTCCCAACCGGAACTGACGGTCGGTACTTTGCAAATTGTATTGATGGTATAATGTTCTTGCTTTCGGTCCGCATATCCTTCAGCAGAGTTTTTTGCTTCTTCCAGATTACCCCGTAGAGTCTTTAAATACTCGTTTGGTCATCTACCAATGTTCAAGGGAAGTTTATGAGTAGGTTGCTGTACACAACTGCCAGACCCCCTCCACGTTTGCCTTGTGATGAGCCACGATGACTCTGCAAGATGGAATACCCCTCTGGGGCCAAACAATATTTTATGGCATTTGGAGCGTCGGAAGGTACCCATGTTTCCGTGATGATGAAAACATTTAAGTTATTTGCCTGTATAACATCATTAAGCAATGGTGCTTTGTTTACAGCCGATCTTACATTCAAAAGTCCGCACTTTAGCATTGCCTGGCGTTTGCTAATGTATTTCCTTTTCAGAGATTCGAGCGTTTTAAACATTGCCTAACGTGGCGAACTTGGTTTTCAGATTCTGAAGCGAAACAGTCTTCCGACAGGCCCTTGATATGTAAAAAGAATTTATTTGTGAAAGAAAGCTCAAAAAATCCGCACGGCTCCGCTTCAGACACTTCTCAGACATGAGCGATAATGAAGTATAGCAATGACAATATAACAATGTTCCCCTGTCCACGATTTCTTTAAAATGGTTAGGGGACCTCGTAGCAACGTACCAAATAACGTTGTGGACTCCTCTGCGTAGTCGACGAGGGCTTCTCACGCAAACTCCATAAAACAAAAGATAACATATGATGGTCGATTTTTTGCTTACTTGAATATCATCGCTTTTAGTGATTGATTACACCGTTCCACCACTCATGACGCCTTTGGATGACCTGGGGAATTGAACCTTGGACTGTATCACAATCTCATTAACATCTCTTAAGTTAGCCGACCAGTAACTCAGTTTGAACTGATGATCTTCGGCACAGAAAAGGTGTTAAAAATTTGCAGGAGAATATCATAGTGACCTCGGCACTGATGGGCTTCATGGGATATGCCATTGGCCATCTTATGAACAAATCTACTACCACCAGTGCATAGTTGTATTGTGGTCGGGTTCCCGCCTCCGGTAGTACCATAAGTCCGATACAGTCTATGATTAGATGGGAAAACGACATCTCATCGTTCCTCGAAATAGGAGTGATGGGAATCCTCTCCGATGTTCGAGTTGGAGCTCTCAACTGGCAGGTTTCACATGATTTACAATACCGTCTTATTTTGTCCGACGTTTCAGGGAACCGGAAACTCAAAGCAATCCGTTGCCTGGTCGACTTGGCTGCCATGTACCCAGCCGTTGGCGCATCATGTTCCAGCTCTAACACTGTCTTGATCCCACTTGTGGGCAAACACAGCAGTCTCACCTTGTGACCCACAACTGTTTCCTTGTGATATAACACATCATCTTCAATGCAAAAACTCTTCTTGTTGATCCTAGCATACTGCCAATCTTTTTGAAGTGAGGGACAGTTTCGTTGCTCTTGAATGAATTCCTTCCGTTCCATTGTCACTCCCTTTGTTCTTCCCCTCCTACTACCCTGCAAGCATTTGTACCAGCTGTGTGTATATCATCCCATCCTCATTTTCATTGTCTCCACCTTCATCATCGTCATCATCACTGACTTCCTCCGGCTCTATTACTACACCAACGTTACTATTGTTATCTTTGTTGTCTTTTTCCACTGCTTGTCTACCGACAGTTTTCACCATCCTAACATTACAATTGCTAAGTATTTCGTCTTTATCTGATCTACCCACATCACATTTCATTACACCATCCCTGTCATTATCAATTTTCTTCATCACATTTTCTTCATCTACATTGCCACCGACATTATTATTATTCAATTTCTTCACTTCATCTTCTGCACTGCCATCTGTCCCACCATCATTACCATTAACCTCCTCTTCCTCATCATCTACCACACCAATATTACTATTATTAGTTACTTTTTCTTCATCATCTACACTGCCATCTGTACCAGTGACATTAAATTTACATTTATTTCTTTCTTCCTCCTCATGACCATCATCAAGTTTGCCTTTACCACTGACATCAAATTTACATTTTTTATTATTATTATTACTGCCACAATTATTGTGGACATCATTCCCATCTGACCTGTTGACATCAAACTTACTATGGTTATTATTAACTTCTTGATTCTTTGGTTCACATTGGGTGAACCCAAACTCTGGATCATAAAACATCTGTCATTTTCTTTCTGCCCTCAGCCGTCTAGTGTTTTCATCTTCTTCTTGCGAACTTTACCTGGGGCGTTTTCCTTCTCTCCTTCTAACCTCACAAACGGCTAAGCATATCCTTTTGTCTCCTTCAAACGTTCCACCACATCAGGGGTGATAAGTAGCCTTTTGTGGGCACACAGTATTATGGCACGCCAAGCCTCCACGACTGGTGCAATGACTTCCCAATGTTTCAGCTTGGGAGTCAATGTTACTCAGGCGGCGTCTACTTTCTTGCTCTGTCCATCCAGTCCTATGATTCTTAGCTGACCCATTCTATCTAGATTTAAAGCATCAAAAAAATTTTCGCTGATGCAACATACCTCTGCTCCACTATCCACCAAATCATCACAGAATTGTTTACCCTGTACCTGGACCTTTAAGAAGGGTTATTTGAAAAATCTTTTGGCTTGCGTCCTTTTGCCCCTTCTATCTTGGGTCTGTTTGTTCAATGGGTCTTTTGACATCTGCTTCACTTGGCATCTCGTGGCCCGTTTTGTTGGTTTGTCCTTTATTTTTTTCGGACAATGTTTGGTAAGATATCCAGTGTTACCACAGGTATAACACCAAACTGCGGAAACTGGCCCCTTTTTATCTCCATTTTCTGCTACTTTTTGTTCATACTACCTTGATCCGTCATCGGTCGTGTTTTATATCCTGCCGTGAGATAGGTAGAACATGTCATATTCATGTTGGCTTCATATCGCTCCAAAATGTCGGCCATCCGATCAAGGGTAAACCACTCCTCACCCTCTCGTGTAAGGATATGATCCAATAAGTTCTTCGGCAACAGCTCCTTCATTCGATCTGCCACCAGAAGGGACAATATCTGGTCAAATGAAAATAAAATCTGAGGTAACTATGTAGTCTTGCAGCAAATGCCGGAAAGGTTTCATTCTTCGTTATCCTGGATACTAAAAATTCATCACGCAGTATCATGGGAGAGAAACGGCATCGTTGCAGTATCTGCTGTTTAATCACTTCATAGTTTTGTAAATCATCTTTATCGATTTCGTTCAGCACGTTTCTCATTTTTGCATCCAACTTGGATATTAATAACTCAGCCCTCAAACTACCTTCGACTTTAAACCTGTCAAACATACCTTCAAAAGAGCTGGAAATATGGAGCAATCCTTCGCGGTTCAACTAATTGACGCACCAATTTTATTTATTCGAGTTTATTAGAGTTTAACAAAAACTTTTAACAGGTATTTTCTAAACATTATTAAGTCTTTTATCACCAATATTTTGTAACAATTTACAGCTATTGTTACAAGTTACAACACAAAATTACTTGCTTTGAAACCGTACTTTCTGGTTTTTTCCCGAATGGAAACTCCGTTGTTTACATGCACCGATACCCACTTTCTTTTTCTGTTAGTGTGTATCCCATTTCTAACACTAAATGTAAGGGTTCTTTTTCAGTCCAACACAAAAACTTGCAATTTTTTAACAGAATAAAGTTTTTTTGCATGATAAAATCAAGTAACCAAATAAATTAAATAGTTATGGTCCACGTATCAATTGTTCCGTGTATAATGTCAATTGTCTGGTAAATGTCCTTGTGGGCTGTCTTGTACTTCTGGCTGCAGTGCGGTAACTGCCCATCTTCTAACGCTGACACTTTTGAATGTGTTGCTGAATGTACTGGCACCTTGCTATCGCTAAGCGCCTCGAGTGTTGTTGATCGCGTTGTTGAATGTACGGCTGCTGAAATGACGTAGAGTATGTTGAACCTGTGGCCACATCACGGTTGCTGAAATGACATAGAGTATGTTGAACGTTTAAACTTTTTCAAACAAATTCGTTTTTTTATAAACGAAATTTGCAGTCGCTTCTTCCTATTACTTTACGATTTTTTTTGTAGACGGATTTATTGATATAATAATAATGAGAAGAAGGAAAATGTTTAGATAATTTTTCTGGAGTTGTTCATTGAATTGAATTGCATCGATTAATTGGCAGGCTGTTTTTCACTGGTTCAACACATCAACACCTGTGCCAAACAGATCTTCAGTTCATGCAAGTCGAACCAGCACGTTCATCCTACCAGGTTATCATTTTTTTCAAGTTTACTTCTCACATACTTTTGGTGTGTATGTGACCTACTATAAAGAACCCTATTAGCTTCAATAATTTTTTTTATTAATCCACTTTTGGAAAATATTAAGCCATCAATCAAATATGTTCAATGTTTAATTGTTTATATATTTAGTGTTTATCGAAATGTTCCAACATTAATTAAAATTTTTGTGTTATTTGTATTGTTATCAAAGCTCAGTAGGCTATGTTTATTATATAGAATGGTAATGAACAACAAAAATCTATATCGTTTTATATATATTGTTACAGACGTGAAGGCAAGATAAGAATTGGTAATTAGAAATTAAAGTGAAGCGCTTGATAATTTAATTAAGAGGCGGAGCCAATGAAAACCGTATTGTAAAATGTCGATGATTGTAAAAGAAAGCGAGGTATAAATAGACCGACAACAAGAACGATAAGAGAGGGAGAGAAAAGAGGAGAGAGATTAGAGAGAGAAGTGCACGAATTAACAAGGAACGACGAGAATTACGATGAAGTCAGAAGAAGTTTCAGGCAGTCCTATTATCGCAGAGATATTTTGTGTGCGTACTGCAAACAAATTAGCGATAACGCCCAAGGAGAAGTTTGTCGCGAAGAATTCTACACGCGGTCTGCGAGTGAATTACGATAATCTTCCGAGAAGTGGATACTTAGGATTTACGGTCAAGAAACATCTGACGAGAAGAGCTTAATTATTGACGATTAGTTTTATCTTGTGATTTAACTGTTGATTAGTTATTGTTTTGTATTCTAACGATTTTAACGATCGAACGAACGAGTGATCGATTACGGCAATTGCCAGCTCTGTTTTCTTTCTAATAAAGTCATCTAAAATAAGTCTGTTTAGGAATCAAGAATCCGCGTAAAGAGAAATAACCATACCCAACAAGTTCTGGGGGTCGGTTATAACAATATATAAAATATATACCTTTTTTTATATATGTAAAATACATACCCTTTTCTTCACAAAATCATTTATTTATGTTAGTTTTTTTCCTTCAAATAAATTTGTTTCGGGTTTCCAATCAACATTTTGAAACTATTTTGTTTCGTTTTCGATTATAACCAAACTTCAAGATTTGAGAAGTTCAGTTTACTAATTAAACTCATCAACAACATCATTCATATGAACTCGTGAATAACATGAAGTATTACGCGTTGCGCTAAATTAAATTTTTTAACGATTTTGCCCTCGTTTAGTTAGGTTTTATCTTTTTTTGATGATCGTTACGATTAGTGATAAAAAACTCTCACAATAAAAAAAATTATCAGACTTGAGAAGAAAAATGATCCATCAACACGACCAATATCCATAGTGTTAGACAATTTGATGTCCAAGGAGACAGTGATTATAAATGCACACAAATTAAAGTCAATGTCAGCGAACTAAATAATGTTTGGATTAGCAGCGGTTTGACATCTGAACAGAGGAGTGAATCGAAAAACTGATAGCCGATTTAAAATCAAAAGAATCGTGTAAAGGTGGTTTTTCATAAGCAGTCAGGAGACCGGTAGGAAGATGGAGTAATGCAAGATACAAAATTTTACTACAAAAAATTAAGTTAGTAAATTAATTGATAATACTCGTTTAAAATATCTCAATGTTTTGTATGCCAACTTAGACGGATCATTTGAAGAAATAATAAAATTATTATTGAACATACTATGTAGAGCAGAAAAAGTACTTGAAGGCTTTTTACAAGGTGCATTATTTGCTAATGTTTTATTAGGTAATTTGTTCCATAAATTTTAATAAGGTTTTTCCACCCTTCAGCTTTTGAAATTATCTGATATTTGGACAGAAGTAATAGCTTTTGTTATTATATTCCCAGATTTCGAAAAAGTGTCTCAGTAAGACTCCTCATAAAATTTTGATTAAAAAAACGGTTCGGTTCGGTACAATGTTAATTAAACAATAATTTTGTGGTTGGAAAATTATTTACCAAACGTTCTGTTAGAGTAGTTGTTAATAATTTTCATTCAACTCTTTTTCCGGTTACTAGTGGTGTACCGTGGCAGTGGTTTGGGCCCTGTATTGTTCATATGTTTTTATTAAGGAATTGTTTGAAAGTCTCAAAACCAATATGACAATTTAAAACACTTTTTATTTGCCGATGATGTCAAATTGTTCAAAAAATTTCTTCACTTGATGAAGACAAATACTACAATTGGTGTTGAATAAATGTGTAGCATGGTATGATTCAAAATAACTTTAAATATTCGAAAATTTAAAGCCATGAATGTTTGTAAAAAGCTATCTCAATCTCAAAACTGTTTCTCCTACAAAATAGGAAATCTGGATATTGAATCTGTGAACAAATTTAAAGATTTAGCATTTTTCTATAATGATTATATAGGTTTCAGTCAGTTTGTGTGTAATTTAAGCAGTTATTCTAGGTTGAGTATAATTAAAGCTATGATGCGGTCTGTGTTGGAGTATGCGTGGTTTCTTAGTTAATTGGTGAAATTAGATGCATTGAAAAGGTTCAAAAAAGAGCGCAAATTGATTGGTATGTATTATATTGACACACTTAAGTATTTAAACTTTCCGATGTTAAGACATTTCGTAGTATTCGAGGGGATTTGATAATTTCGTATAATCAACTAAAAATGGAAATGACAATAAAATTTACTAGAGATGCATCATTGTGGGTAATATGGACAAATATTTAATGTATCACATGTTTTTAATTATGGGCATATAGACAGCATCTGCGCTCATTATTTTGATATTATATTATTAAATTGAATATTCATTTTAAAAGACATAACAGAGCACAAGGTTGCGAGTTCCAGCTCCAAAGACGTGGACCACTACTCCCACCACCAGCACAATCATCCATCTGATTCAAATGATGGAAGAAGTAGAAGACCAAGTTACAACCCTTCGTCATCTTCATCGCTGCTCATGCCCCACATTCACGATGCCAATGATGGTTTGTTGTTATTTTTAACTATTTCTTATTCAAAGAACAGATTTTCAACAAACAACCCCCAGTGTTGCTTCTTTTCTTCCACAATCCTTCTATATTTTACATGCACACTAAAATAAACTTTGTTATACGTTTGTCAGTAGAGCTCCTCGCTCATCAATATCTTTATACATAAACTTCAACACAATTTTTAGTTTCCTGGGTTATACTTTAGAATAAGTTTTTCAAGTTTATCCTGTGTAATCGTATATATTTTTTCGTTTGATTTTCAGTTCTGTTAGTTTACTCAGTTTATTTTTAATAGTTCAACTAACTTTTCATACTTATAAAAGTTTCTTAAAATGATTATCAGTATGATCATTTTATGAAAAATTACTTGTATTCATTAAAAAACTGAAAAGATATCTGATTTATATGTACATGGTCAATAGCGGATCTAGGGGGGCCTGTTAAAAATTAGTATAAGTCCTTGTTTTAACGGAAAAAGTAGTGTGGTGAACATAGAAAAATTTCGTACAAAATATTGCAAAAAATTCTCCCTCCGGTCATCAACACATTTTTTTGAAAACTCCCACCCGGTCGCCAATTTTTTTTGAAAACTTTCCCTCCCACTGTCATCGACTTATGGTTGAAAATCCTCCCCGGCCGCCCACCAACCTCTTCAGTAGCCAAATATTTTTGAATATTTTGGCCCTCTCCATCAAAGCTGTCTAGATCCACTACTGTATATGATGTGTTAAACTGCATCCGCAAGTATGTGTATGCATATGAGTGAGAGTTTCTGCTACTACATGTACAGATGGCCAGTACGAGTACGTATTGCACACCATCTCTCACCACGACTAAAGATGTGTTACTGTGAACACCTAAATTCTTTTAGACTAGACGCGTTTATACCCATTATGGTATTCATCAGTAGCCAAATTTTTGTAATCTTAATACAACTTTATAAAAGTACCTGAATACACCTTTGGTCATGGTGAGAGATGGTATAAGACACGTACTCGCATTGGCCAACCATACCTGCCTAGCGCGGTCGACAAATTCTCACCCCGATACATACTCATCTATCTACCGAAATGTGTTTTGTGAACTGCGACTCCATCTCTATTGATAACCTAAGCCAATCAATTAATCAATTTTCGTTTAGCGTCCAGAGACCCAGTTCCCCCGAGGTAGGACGTTGTTTTCTTTGCCATCAATTTTTTGCGCCAACCTAAGCCAGAACGCATAAAAAACTTCAACACAAACGAATCATTATATGCTGATGTATTCAACATGCTTACTGTCGAACTGCTAGGTGACAACTAAGTACACCAATGACGCACTCTGTAATGTATCTACAAGCACCGGTGTATCCCCAAATGTTTTTAAATTAGCAAAAATAGTCCACATTTTTAAAAGAGATAAAGAATAAAGATAGTGTGGGAAATGGTATACGATACGTACTTGTAGTGGCCAACCATACCTGCCTAGCATGGTCGACAAATTCTCACCCCTATACTCACCATCGGCCAAAATGTGTTTATAGATAACCAGCCATTCTCGTTGCTATCAGCATTTGCAAAGTCACTAGAGAAAGTTGTATCAATAACAACTACTTTCTTTTTATCCGGTTACAATTTGCTATCTAGTAATCAATATAAATTTAGAAATGGCCACTCAACTAAATTAGCTGAGGCTGAATTGGTCCAGAGAGTGAATTGCAATATGACTGAATCCAAGCTAACCCTCGGTATTTTCAGATTAATTAAAAGCATTTGATATAACCAGCCATGATTTACTGCTTGAAAAAATTCGTCGTTATGGCATCAGAGGAATACAAATACCTATTGAGGCAAAAGTATCATCTACATTTATTTGTTCAAATTCTGATTTTTTTTCTTTTCATACTCTTCTAATTCGACTGTTCATCCGTACAATTGAAGGTTTGAAATTAATCACATGAGATGATACAAATAGTCATGTTGCAAATCGTCATCTTAGTCTTCATTTTTTGTTATTTATGCAATTTATAAAATTGATTAACAGATAAGCCCATTTAAATTATTGTCAACTTTTAAAGCCAAATTAATTTGAAAACAAATTTTGAGTTTTTATATTTAGTTTTGACAAATTATTTTAGTCAATACTTTTTTCTTTTTAAATTTAGTATTTTCTCGGTTGCCATAAAGGTAAAAATTGTTTCATTATTTTATTTTCACTTAACTTTTTCAAATTTATTATAACTACCTATTTACTTGAAAATTTTAGTGATGTAGCAACTGGTTTAATCAAATTTCTCAGCTTTTGGTATTAAATTTAATTTGCGAATGAAATGAATGAAATTGAACATTTAATTTTTCAGTCCCTTTGAAAAATTCCATAAGTTTGCTTAAAACTCGGTTGGCCAACTCTCCCTACCTACCAAATGATTGTAAGTAACTTTTACCATCATATTCAACAACTCATTTTTTTCATTTTAAACTATCGCATTCCTCCCATTCTGAACTTACTAAAAACAAGTGCACATTCATTATTGCCTGCAACTGCTGACCTGCACTATAATTAAGGTCAACGTTCGGAGCATGCAGTTATAGTTCAATTTCTGTTTGCTATTCAATGGATTAACATAAATTATTTTCTAAATAAATAATTGCCATACATTATTTTATAACTAATCACCACGTCAATGACAGTAGGGAGCTTTCCAAGATATGATTATAACTTTTGCTAGCTCAATATTGTGATGATTAAATTAAGTACCGCAAACAGTATATAATTTCTACTGAAGTCATAATGAGTGACGATTTGAGTGAAGTACTGTTCATGCTAAAAGTCGTCTATTATGATTTTTAATACTTAAACGTGGAGCTGTGTTATGAGTATTCTATTATTATAATTATATTATAATTCTATACTTGTAATTAACCCCTCTGTGCACTATCAACACCACACGAAAAAAAACTTACTACTTAAAACTTACTACTCGGATAAGTGTGGCTGCATAATTTATAAAAACAATCTTATTCAGTTCTTCTTTTATACCACTTTGTGAGAGTAGCTTTATTATAACAGTTATTTTTTCCAAACAGATTCAACCACAAAAATGAGGCAGAAGCATGATCTTTCTCCCCACAGCACACTTACTTGATGACAACTTCAATCTCGCATTAATATTTGCTTGTTTATTGTACATTATTTTTAAAATTAAACGTAGATGTCGTTTTCCGTATTAAACATTAAATAATTTTTTTTAAATGAGCTTCTTATGTAATTATAAATGTACATCTTAAACTTAACGCTAACGGGCATTATTTATTCGCTGTCTAGTCTTTTTTGCGGTCCATTGTATATTTGTTGAATAGACGACAAATAATAAAATATAACTAATCGATTTGTTCACTTCTATATATTTGAAATTTTCAAAAAAAACAACAATTAAATTATAAAAAACAAACTTAGAGATTTTGCTTTTTGTTTTTGCTTCATCACAGATAAATTTAAAATTGTTTTTCATAACCGAACAATTTTTGATAACGTATATAAAATGTTTAACACATGAGATCAGTATTTAACAGTCACATTTCTATTCATTCCATAGGGCTTTAAATGATAAGCCAGATAGTGAGTTTGGTACATGTCTTTCGGGAGCATGTAGTGGAAGGATATCGTTGTGGTACTGCAACATGGTGGTCCCTGTTGAAGAATGTCAATTGGTTTATTTTTCCCAATTTACTTTTGAGAAAGTCAAAATTTTTGTGAAAACGTTAGACCAAACCCTGTAAAAAATGTTTATGGCCTCTGTTCGTTCAGAAAAAAAGTTGATGACCTTTTTGGTTATTTATCAATCAATCTTATATTTTCAATATTTCCCTTAAATTTAACGACTATATGTATAGTGTTTTTCCAACTATTATCATTTTCACTCTAGTCCTTAATGCTCCACTGCTCCCCTCGAAAATAAAATTGCCTCCTCCGGTGGGGCGTCGGTTTTGGGAAACACTGCGTTAGACATCTAAATTAATCTGCAAAAAACCAATTTAGGCTAAGCAAAATACTTAATATTTATAGACCAATCATTTGCCTAATATCTGAAATCCAAATTCGACAGATTAGACAATTGCAGTTGATTTATAAAAAGATTTTTGTTACGATCACAGATATAGGCCACTAGTTTTCTATGGTTGCGATCCATGAAAAGATAGAATTCAAAAATTTTGTCCATAACGCACCGTTTAGCAAATTGACAAAAGGTTGAAATGAGGAAACAATGGAAAAATGAGCACATAATTAAAAAAAATCTAATTACACTTTTTTCTTGTTTTACAATTCAATTAATGTATGTTGTAAATTTTATCAATGTTTTAGTTTACAAATTATTTTGGCGAAAGTATTTATTGCACTATGGTCTTACTGTTACAAAACTTCAATATTATTAATATTTTCAACCATTGTTTTATCAATTGAAATTGTAAATTCATTTTAACATTTAATGAAATGAAAGTTTCAGAGAACGCCCAAAAATGAAACTCAAAATGCCAACAAAAACAGACATTACGAAAAAATTACACATTTAAATAAAGTTCAACTAAAGAGAAATTTTGTTCTACTATTATAAAACTATTCTGGAATGGTCAAAAGACGGCCAAAAATGGTGTTTGAATTTTTGTCAAAGAATCGCTAGCTCAATAAGTACTGGATATTAAAAGGATTAATTCACGTCTCATGTGGATCAAGCTTCGCATAGAAAAGCAAACAATGATTATTTTTTCTGCATACGCACCACAGACAGGTGAATCAAAAGAGATAAAAAATAACTTCTGGGCTGCGTTTTCTGACACCATCTCAACAATACCAAAATCTGAAACAATCCTGATTGGAGGCGATCTCAATGGCCACGTTGGAAAGAAAACAGATGGTTTTGACAACGTACATGGCGGTTTAGGCTGTGGAGAACGGAATGAAGATGGCAACCGCATCCTTGAGCTTGCTGAAAGTCACGGGTTTTGTTTACTGAACACATATTTTAGAAAAAGGTTGGAACATCTCATAACATACAAAAGTGAACCATCAGCCACGCAAATTGATTTCTTCGCTGTCAAGCAACAACACCGAAGGCTATTCAAAAATGTCAAAGTTATACCTGGCGAATCATGTGTCGCCCAACATAGATTCCTTGTGGCAGACCTGGCTGTCGAACCGTCACAACATAAGTCTAAACAAAAGCCTCGGAGAATCAAAACGTGGAAGCTGAAAAGCAATATTCATCAAGAAAAAATTCAACAGATTGTCGCCACACAGTTGGACCACCAATCGCAAGCCAGTACAGATTGGAGTACATACAAAACCGTTTTGGTAAACGCTGCAACTACAGTTTGTGGGAAAACTGGTACAAAACGTCAGCATGAACGGGACACTTGGTGGTGAAATGACAGTGTACAAAATGCAATAGCTGAAAAGCATGGCAAAAATCAAAGTCTGTTGATGACCATAAAATTTTCCGTGAGATAAACAACCATGCAAGACGTCAAGTCGCACTGGCACGGACAGATCAGTGCAGAGAGTGGCTCACTAAAAGCAAAGGTAAACAAATAAAATCTCTGTATCGTATAGCAAATCAAGCAAAGCGTACGAAAAAAGACATAGTTGGTGCCTCATGTATCAAAAACGACAAAAATGAGATGGTTTTTGAACAAGATGAGATCAAGCTACAGTGGAGAGAATACTTCAACCGTCTGTTAAATGAAACAAATCCCATCAATTCCGTCAACTTTGACGCTCCACCCATCGAAGGTCCGATTCCAGACATCACTGTAGAGGAGCTTACAGAAGCTCTGAAAGCTATGAAAGATGGAAAGGCAGCAGGGCCCTCTGGACTAACAAATGACATTATCAAAACATCTGGTACTACAGGTATCCAAACGTTACTACAACTTTGCCGTGAAATCTGGAGAAATTGCTCAATGCCGACTGAATGGAACTATAGCATGACAGTTCCGCTATACAAAGGCAAAGGTGATCCATTGAACTGTTCATCATATCGGGGTATACGTCTGTTAGAACACTCCCAGAAAATTGTCGAGAAAATCATTGAGAGAAGATTAACGTCGTGCATCACAATCGGAAATTATCAATTTGGTTTCCTGGCTGGGAAATCAACAATTGATGCAATTCACATACTTCGGCAACTGCAAGAGGCGTACTTCGCAAAGCATCAACAACTATCACACATTTTTGTAGACCTTGAAAAAGCATTTGATCGAGTTCCCCGTGAAGCAATCAGGTGGAGTCTACGTCGACAACTCATTCCAGAATATCTTGTTCGACTTGTGATGGAAATGTATACGAATACTAAGACTCTCGTCAGCACAACGGTTGGAAACACAGATGCATTTGACATCGGCGTTGGAGTTCACCAAGGCTCGATTCTCAGTCCACTGTTATTTATAACTGTGATGGAAGAAATCACAAAACCGATACGCACTGGTGACATTTGGAATCTAATATATGCTGATGATATCGTTTTAACAGCCACTTTTGAGCAGAATGCAGCACAGATGTTTGAAGATTGGAACACCAGACTCGCCGATCATGGATTCAAAGTCAACATCAGCAAAACCAAAGCAATGAACACTGGTGAACCCATCCAATCCACAGCTACTGGACGATGGCCCTGTTCAGTTTGTAAAGCTGGTGTAGGTAACAATTCAATCAAGTGTCAGCAGGGTAACCAGTGATGTCACAAACGTTGCTCAAAAATAATTAATTGGTACTTTATCTAAAGTGTCCAATTTTGTTTGTCCTGCTTGCATCAATCCACAACAACAAATTCGAAATAGCAATGTTTTTGAAGCCCTTAAGGTAGAGAAAGTCACATCGTTTCAATATCTAGGGGATGTTCTAGATTGTACTGGAACAGCTGAAGCTGCCGTTCGAGCACGCATACGTTCAGCCTGGAATAAATGGCATCTCCTTGCCTCTATATTGATGCGGCGTGACATCCCACTACCACTACGATCAAGACTATAAATCTGTGATAAGTCCGGTCTTGTTATATGGAGCAGAAGCATGGCCAATGACAACCAAACTGAAACAACAACTTCAACGAACCGACACGAAAATGCTCCGATGGATGGAACGAATTAGTCTGAGGAACATCAAATCTACCAAAATCTTGCGTCGTGCTGGTTTAGATGATATAAAGGACGAATGCCGGCAACACCGTCTGCGGTGGTTTGGTCGTGTCAAACGAAGTGGAAACAGTGCCATAACTTCTCTTGCAGATGTTGAAGTACCTGGCACACGTCCCAAAGGCCGTCCAAAGAAGTCCTGGTCGCAAACAATCAAGCAAGACACGAAAGCTCTAAATTTAAATGAAATGGATACAACTGACCGTCTAATTTGGCGCAAAAAGTTGATGGCAAAGAAAACAACGTCCTACCTCGGGAAACTGGGTCTCTGGACGCTAACCGAAGATTGGTTGATTAAAGAGCAATTTTGTAAAATCTGAATTACCCTGCGTGAAAACTAATGTTTAAAAAGTTTATAATATTGAAAAGTCAAACGCAAAGAATCAGTGTTTAGAGGCGAATCAAAAATTACCATTTCAGAAAGAAATATAAATAATAATCAATTTCATCAAACTTGAGTCTTTTCACGTACTTAATGATATTATTCTGTACTTAATTGTATATAAATAAATTCTGTACGGACTGATAATAATATCAGTCAATAGTGGTTATGCATAAATTAAACTTAACGAACAACATATTTTAAATTGATGATATCTGTAATAAAATGCCGGTGTGTTGTTTTGTAAATTTCTATTTCATTGATTCACACAAGAAGCTTCAATGTTTTTTTTAACAAGTGTTGAGAAATCATGAGAAAGTATTGCCCTACATATAGACATCCTGTCATTTAGACACCAACAAAGTAGTAGCCTAACTTGTAACTATTTAGACCCTACTCGCAAGTTTTTAACAATTTTAATTTATTATGAAAGTACTAAATAAAGACATAGCGAGGTCAAAACTAGATTCGAAAGTCCTTATTAAAGTTTTTGATATAGATTTTTTTTTTATTAAGGAATGTTTAGAAACGTGCCTTCTTGAAAAGGCGCCCAGAGTAATTACTTAATTACCAAGGTTTGCCTCCCATTGCTACGTCACTGAAATAACTAGAGATAAATATTAATTACAAAACAACGTAAAAATTTACAGTTTTCCATGGGTAATAGGAGTAATTGAAGATCCAATCATCTTTATCCAGAAAAAGATCAGTTAAAATAAAATATGGAGGATAAGGATGAAATCTTTCCATATTTTTTTCATCTCTTGTGTCTATTGGCATTATATTTGAATATTTCAAGCATTGCCCCATGTTTACATCTTCATAACCACCAGGTTCTGCTTTACAGAATGCACTGTATTTGGCTTTTAAACCTTGTCTCACAAACTTGTGCAGAGCACTCTTACTCAATACATATCCTGCTCCTCCACTCATGTAACCCGCTGGAAAAAAAAATTTAAACCTTCGACCCAGGTAAGATGAGCTTTTTTCTTTGAGTTGAGTGATTAAGTATCTCAAATTTTCAATATTCATGTAAGTGTCGTCATCTGCCTTCACAAACCAATCAGCATCGTTCAGGTGATTTGTATAAATGTACTTGAAAGCTGCTTTCGTTTTGTTCCATAGGAAATCGTAGCCCTCGTTTATGTTTAATCCTATTGCTGGTAGATGTGTGTCATTTTCAGAGCTCATGAACAAAACTTTATTGCAGTGCTTCCCCCATGTTTCACTGATGTGCTTTGCTCTCAATTGAATTGTTAAAGGGCTTGTCATGATCCAACAAAGTATTCTTATTTCATCATATAATTTCTCTGCTAATGTTGTGCTGCCTGCAGCTGAAAGTATAAATAATAAAGGGAATTAATAAAACAATTATTGTTATAATATAAATGTTACTTAAATAATCCTGAAATTATTTTTTTTAGTCAAGAATGTAGCTACAGGAAAAAAATTGAAGAAAATTAATTAGAAAAAAAAGTTTAATTTTTAAATAACTGTTTTTAAACAGAAATCCTCTTACTTATACCCCATCACTAACTTTCTAATACAAATTCAATATAAGGTATATGTTCATTTTATGGCTCTAATTGTAAGTTTTACGCCTTTGCTTATAAGCTTGAAAATTTTAACAACGTAAAAACTGTCAAATATTATTTCTTTTTCCACAAATATTATTTCTTTGTCCACATGCTAGTCAAAAATATAAAAAACAATTTACCTTTTTTAAATTTTCAAGCAAGCTTGATAGATGTCTACATTCCTATTAACCTTATATGATGATGCCACCCATCCGATGCATGCACACACACATATAATTAGGGTTGAGACTGTCTTACATTTATTGAGAAATATCACTAAATTTTCAGCTTTGATTAGTTTCTAAAGTTTACTAATTCAGCCAATTAATTGTTAATGATATTGCCATACAAGTTACTTACAATTTCACAGTCTTCCAGCTCTTGCTGAATAAAATAATTTTGAATTGTTAGTAGAGGTTGGAGATGAATGGTCATAATAAAATATATAATAAAATGATCAATTTGTACTGTATGGTCATTTGAAATACATACATTGATTAATTGATCACATGAATTTTGATGCTGATGCTTGCCTAGGAGCCAGAGCGAGAAGTAGTTAAAGTTAAAATTATATTTGTTGTTAACAATAAATAAAAGCATGTTAATACAATTAGACATTTTATTTTAGGCTAAAATTTTTAGCAAAGATGTAGCTGTTTAGAAGCATTTCCATAAGCATGTCCATAAAAATAAATAAAACCATAAAAATAAAACTAAAAAGAACGCTTCGACCTTCACATTAAGATTAAGAAAGATTTAAAAATAAATTAATCTGAATATAAAAAAATGACAAATGTAATTAATTAAATCAATAACAAAAACCAGAAACTTTTGCTCTAACAAACATTATCTTCTTCAGCTGGTACCAGTAATGATCCATTCAAAAAATTTAAATTAGATTTGTCATGGATGGACTGGGACAAAAGCAGTGACTTAGGTTTACTAATGCAATAATCGATGACAGAAACTACAAAATAACCAACAAAAAATCCTACAAACAAATAAGAGCGGCTGTATAATCGGATAACCAGATGAAACATCAGGCCCACTCTCATCTCAATCTAACAGAACATGTCAATCATGCTGTAATTTGCAACAAGAACACAAATACTTGGACAACTTAAAAGTAAATTTTGATTCAAAAGAAAACTCTCATAAACGGGTAAAAAAGATAAAAAAAACTAAAATAACTACTGCAGTGTTATGGAATCAGAATAAGTGTTTAAATAAACCGAACTAGTTTATGTTTAAACAATTTATATTAATTAATCTACATTATTATACATCTACAATATATATATATATATATATATATAAATACATATATATATATATGTTGGTAATAGACCTTAATTTTTATTGAAATAATATATATGTATATTATATATGTTTCAATATATTTATGACTTTCCATAGTTTCAGACATTCTTATATTATTGCAGGAAGCATAATATCATGGATTAATCAACAACAGGCCATAGTTGCAACATCTACAACAGAGGCTGAGATCATCGCTGCGACAGAGGCTGTCAAAGAAATAATTTGGCTTCAAAGATTATTCAAATCATTACAGGTTGATTTGAAAGATGTGCCAATCTTGCAAGTTGACAACAGTGCTGCAGTCAAATTAGCTCAGAACCCACAATTTTATCGGCGAACAAAACACATTGACTTGAAGAACTTTTTTATTAGAGATAAAATTCAAGATGGAACGGTTGATATCACACAAATTTCAACAAGTGATCAAGTCGCTGATGTGATGACAAAGCCGCTGGACAGAGTCAGACTGAAACTCCTGTGTGGACATATGGGACTAATGTCATAAAATGTTTTGAAACAAGGGAAAGTATTGAAATAATATATATGTATATTATATATGTTTCAATATATTTATGACTTTCCATAGTTTCAGACAATCTTATATTATTGCTAACTTGACTAACTTGCACGTGTATGCTTTTCGCTTTCTGTCGACTAAAGTGTCTTCTAATATTTCAATTAACGTTTCTTTAATAAATAATTAT